CCATAAGGTTTTGTAGATAACTTTGAACAAATATGTAAAGTATCACAAAGTCTATTGATTTCAGTTTTGTTTTACTTAAAAAATCACACTTGAATTTACAGAAATTGAGGCTACCAAAGCAAAACAGAGAAAGCAGAGCAAGATTGGGGAAAATAGAAGTAAGACAAAGAAAATCGTTGTTTATTCTAATCCATTAATCGATTAACAAGATCTTGATAAAAACTCAGATATTTGAATCAAGAAATTTATCTAAGAGTTTCAAGAAGTTAGAAAAAACATTGATAAATAAATGTATAACTTTAAGAATCATCGTTTTCAACTCCGCAAGTCTAACTCTGACGGTCTCTCGATCTACTTAGCGAAGATCCTTGTGTCGAAAGAAACTCCGTCAGCATTCCCATAGCCTGTAAGCTGCTCGATTCTCCGTTAACAGCGTTTATAGATTGATGCAGCCAATAGCATTGGTTGGTGTCGTCAACCAAGTGGTAATGTTTGTAAGAGACCGGAACATACTGCGGATTGTATTGCAGATAATGCTGCGGAGAATTGCAACAGTACTGCTGAGGATGTTGAGGACAAACTTGGTTCCTGAACATTGAAAAACCAAGAAACTATACATTAACTAAAGAAACAACCATGGCTAGAAACTATACCCTAGAAAAATATCCTAATGGCAAAAGATTGCATCGGAGTAAGAAAAATACCGTTGAGGTCTAGGGTTTGTAGTTACTGGTTGAGGAAAATTTGAAGGTTGTTGCAGGTTTTGACAAAAACTTGGGGATCTGAAACAGAGATCATCATGAGCTAAAGGGATTATCTTGGATTGGTTAGGTTTAACTTTAGCACCAAGGGAAGCGAGTTTGCAATTGGTCACTCGTCCGTCTATTGTCGGATTCGGATTCTTGCAAGCGTTTCTTGCGGATTCAGCATCTCTAAACGTCACCTGAAAAAAGATATATACAAAGATTCATGATCGAATAGTCTCTTAAGAATAATCGATAACCTAAACGTATATACTGTTCTTGGTGTTACTTACAAAGCCATAGCCTTGTGATCGGTCTGTTTTTTTATAAAAAACGACGTTAGCACGGATAATCTCTCCAAAACGTTTGAAGAAGTTTACCAAGCCTTCCTGTCTTGTTGTCCAAGGCAAATTTTCCACGAATATCTTTGTGAACGTTGTATCGAAGTTTCCGTGTTGAGACATGATGCGTCTTTGCAAAGTAAAAGAAGGTGAAAAGACAGTCGAACAATCTGAGCCCTAGAAGAAAAAAGTGTTACGAAGAGAATAGGTGTGTTAAAAAGTGTATATATAGATGAATCCAACAATCTCATAGGTATATAAAGAATAGGAAAATATTTGCATTCCGATCTCAAATAAGAATTGCAAAAAGATACTAGATAATTTGTCGTTAATTAAAAAATTGAAATAGATAATTGAAATATGTAGTAAACGAAACAGAGTCAAACCATAAAATAAACTATTGAAAAATATGTGTGAGTTAATTTCTTCATATTATTCGGCTTAGGTTATTTAGGCAATTTCTTTAAAACAGAGCAAAACAGGGGGAAATAAAAAAGTGGTCTTAACTTAATTCCAATATTTGGCATAATGGAATATTACATATCCTAAGCAGAAATTGAAATCAAAATTCATCTGAAATCACACACAATAACAACTAAGGATATGCTTCAAAATACAACACACAGAGAGATTTTATCTCATAGAAATCTCCCAAATGCCTCATTGTTTCTTATTCTAAGCATTTCAACATCATTTCCTAAGCATAGGTTTCTTCTGTTGCTTCTCCTACACCACACACTCTCATTGTTCCCTTTTTTAGTTTTCGCGTTTGGCTTCATCTGCAATTTCCCTCCTTAAAGTCTCCTCTTCCATGTCGCAGCGACTGATGAGCTCTTTAGTAGACCATATCTCCCCAATGTGCCATCTACCGTTTTCATTAACAAAATTCTCTTCGAGACAACTGTAAACGTTTCGAAGCCTAATATACTGTAATGGCAGCATTTTGACTGCAAAATGCGCTAACATCTTGTCATCCGAGAAGATATTATCAATCCCAAGTCTCTTGTGTTTCGCTTCGAGGGTTTTCATCCTCATAATAAGCTCCCTAACATTCTCATTGTCTCTATAACTCAATGAGGAAATTTCTGCTTGCACCCTACTTCTCTCTGCCTTTTCATTTTTCACAAAGAAATTCTCCAACCCGGTAAGCAATTCTTTTGCGGTTGTAACATCATCGGGGACAACGCCCCTGAATTCTTGCGGAATCCGGATTCTCATTATCATTATACTCACACGATTAGAGCGTTCCCAATGCTTGAGTTCCTTAGGAGAGCTTGGACGCTCTTTCATGAGGGAAAGATCAAGATCCATAAGGGCGAGGACAAGTAACAATTGTTCTTTCCATTCCGAGAAGTTAGATCCGTTTAGCATCGGGATAGAATCGACATTTGAAAGACTAGATATGGATCCCAACACTGAAAAGGAAAAAAAAGGATTGCGTCAGATATGTAGTTAAGTAAACTATGAATCCAACGCTTACATTGAGCATCAATGGTTTGTACTTTGTAATATTGAGACAAAATTGCCCTATAACACAAATGAAGGTTTCAGATTATAAAGCAGAAACACTATATTCTAATTCTAAGTGATCAAGCAAAAATTTATTGAATGGTTGACCATAAACTCGTTACTCCAAATTCGGATAAGCACTTACCAAAACTAGAATCTAAACATCAAAATTACAAAATATAATGCACACGCTTAGGGTTTCCATTACAGAACTTCCATTAAAACTAAAAAGCATTTCCTATTTATCACAAATCTTGAAGACCATGTCACTGAGGCATGACGAGAAAAACAAATATTGATCTACATATTTTTGGAAACAGAGAAGAAGATGAAACGTCAAGAAGTTGTAAGAAATCGTCAAACCCTAAATAACAGAATGATGTAGAACATAACCAATAAACCTGGATTCATGATTGAGCAGTGTAGGCTGTGTAGCACAGAGGATTTTTACTGAATGTCTAAGTTTGGCATATCTCTCTCATTTTAGCCTCCATCATATTTAAACTTAAACAAGTGACGCTTCGTAAAAGAAAGAACTAAACAAATATTTTAGATAAACAATTAACCATATTTAAAAATTAAAATTTCATAAAGTATCAAATTAATTCGACTTTCTCGTGTTATTAAAAGATTTTGTTGTCCCAACAAATTCTAATTTATTTAAATTTTTCATTGACTGAATTATGACTAGTACTAAATTAAAGCGACTGTTTAAATTACCGGACACAAGATTCATGATGAGGCAAACATAGAAAGACACAAACATTAAGAAAATCATGGCTGTAGATTATTCTTTAGTTTGAAGGTTGTTGCTGGCTTTGCCAAAACCTAAGCTAAATGACAAAGATTATCGTGACGAAAACCGGTTTGGTTCAATAGTTTTCGGTTATGGACCTTATGGTTAACACGTAGACTAGCAATATCCAAGGTTTGTTATAAGAAAGAAGAAAACAAGCGACCCCAAAACATATAAGTATAAACAATTAATCTAAATTTGCAAATTTGTCATAAACCTTAGGCTTTGAATGAATGATGTCGACAAAACACACTAAACCGTTAACGGACAAAACCACTCTACTTTATTTTTGAAGCAGACAACAAACCGATGCAGACCATCTTTATATCTACGTATGTAAAAACAGTCCGTAGTTAGTCAGCCGCGGATTTATTTTATTTTTCCAATCCGCACTAGTTTATAAAAAAGCGGTTCAAACAAAAACGGATTTGTCCGCCCTAACCATCGCAACCACTCGAATCCTAAAAAGGAACCTAAAACGGAATTTAAAATTCCGTGAGCCTAATCAATATATTTCTTATTTTATCAAAAACTTACCAAGTTCTAATCGAACTAAAAACAGCATTGATCGCATATAACTCCATAATTAATCATAGTGATTGTTTCCAGTTTACAGGCACAAGATTAAAGAAAGGCCAAAAAACCAAGACACGAAAAAAGTCGTTATTAGTTATTACCAAACTCCATAATTCCTAAATCTGGCTGCTTTCGTCGGACACTGAACTAGCCATCTTCTTCACCACTCTAGACGGCGACGAGCTTGGAGTCGGAGTCTCCATCAAGCTATACGATTCAATGTCACCAGAGATAACCAAATTTGGACTCGGCCTCAGTATCTCCGCTAATGGTCCACCAGGCGTGGTAGACATCGGAGCAAGCCAGCTTGACATCTCCTCTAGTGAAGACGTCACACCATAAGGACCATACCCGTTATGATCCTCACGACCCGACCCGATTACACCTAAACCCATTTGTATCAGGCCCATTTCATCTTGGCCCATTAAGTTGTTTCCTCCCATTGAAAGATCAAGCGAGTAAAGAGAGAGATTGCCATTAGAAGAAGAAACAGGTGTTGAAGTTGTTGTACTCTGTTTTTCAGATGATCTTACACCATCGGACCAAACATCGATAAAATTCAGATACTTGTTCTCTTGCTCTGTTGTCGCAGATATAGTAAATACCTCACTTCCTCTGTTTCCAATCCAAAACACAAACTAAAAACGATCAAAACAGAGAACAAAAACAGAGTATGATTCTGAGACATTTTAAAGAACAATACCTTGATTCTCTGTAGTTTGAGATGGATGATGAAACCTCAATTGTCTCAAGTGTTTTGTCTTTAAATGAACTATTAGAGAGCTTTCGAGGAAGATTTTTGAGATCTCTGTTTTTAACAGAACCACCATTGTTGTTAGGACGAGAATAAGGAGGTTCCACATGCTTTCTTGAACGAGGACGGCCTCTGTGTAAGTGTTTCTCACAGTATTTGTGATTAGAGACGACTTCTTTCGCGCATCTCCATTTCTTTCCGTCTGTTCTCCGGCATCTTCCCGGTTCTAAATCTCCGGCGATGTTTTTATTGTTACAGGGAGAAGCAGAGGATGGTGATGAAACAAGGAGATCAAAAGGAACAGGAATAGATGCGATCATGTACTTGTAGATCATTGCTTGTCTCTCTAGCTCCTTCAGTTGTGCGTTTGTGAAAGGGTAGTAATAGTAACAACCCAAAACTCCATTTCCTGAATCTGTTACAGATCAGTGAGAAGAACATTTAGTTGTGCTCTGTTTTTGAGAATCAAATCAAAATAAGAGAAGAGAGATTGTTACAAGGAGTAGTGAGATGAGGATGAGGATGAATCTCCATGTCTCTGAATCCAAAAGAAGACTCTTTGTATTGTTGCTGATTCAAACTAAACAAAGAATCACTTCTACATGGGATTGTTGTCTTGTCTGAAACTTTGAGAAAGTCCATGAAGGTTAGAGATTTTGAAAACTCTGGTAAAGATTATGAGATTTTTCTTTTCCCTTTATATCTTCATGAGAAGAGACTGAAGAACATGTGACTTATTTCAAAAGAAAGAAAGTAAAAGATCCGTTGTGGGATATAAATTTGGTAAGAGTAAAACGTTGCTTGCCTTTACTTCATATCATACTAATTGAACATATATAGAGAGAGAGGGAGAGAGATTTGGGTGGATACAAAGGATATGGAGTAGTGATGGGTTGCCGCCAAGGTTGTCCTATACTATGCTTCCATGCTTCCGACATTTGGATCAATCCTTAAAAGACAGACCCATCTTGTAGCATATCTATTAGGGGATGTAACGATCTAACGGTGGGGGATGTTTTTTATGAATCTAGTTTGTAGATTCATGTAGAGTTTAATATGGCAATGTAACTACGTAAAATAGTAGTTTATTGTGAACGTTCACTCTAAAGACATGGAAAATTGCACTCATTTGCATAAGCTAAATTTAGAGATATGGTGGTGGTCTGGTGGACCAAAAGCCTGCCGGTCTGGTCCGGTCTGAACATGGCTCGGTCCTTAAAGAGCCTCCCAAGGACCAGCCTAACCATCAAACCGTCATATCCACCGGTAGTTTTGTTGTATGGCATGTTAACCACAAACCGACTTGTAGATCTCATGGCCTAATCAAGGTTGATTAGTGTACTAGGGATGGTCTTACAAAAGAGTTTTTCGAGGTAACTAATTCGAGTTTTAGTGGTGACAACAAAAGTTAATATGACTCGCTATTCTGAAGAGATTATGGTCAAAAGTCTAAAAACTTTTTGGCAATCTTAAAAATATAAGGTCAGTTTAAATCATGAATTGATCCATGGCAAACATCCTTACCTTAAAATTATAGATTACATCAAGTGTAACACACTAATAAAAAATTAACCCGTTTGGATCAAATTGCATAAATATCTTCTCTCTTTGTTTTGAACATGGGAATTCTCAAAAGGAATCAATGATACGTTAGATGTAAGGAAAAATGGGTTAAGATTGTGACAAGAGCAAAGAAAGTGAAGTTGTTGGGTAGCCAAGTGAAGAACGTCTTTCTATTTGTCTCAAGGTTTAAATCCAAAGAAGCAGAAGCCACCAGACAAAATAAGATGGTAAAAGTTGATGTGGACACTCTCTTCTTCAGGACCCATATCCCCACTAATTGTCCTTTATTTTTATTTTTTAAAATCTGACTTCTCAGTCTCTTGCCATTTCAATATTGATGATGCTCTCTTCTTTCACATCCAATTAAAAGTGACATATGAGTTCATTGGAGTCTGACAAAAACTATAGAAGTAAATATCCATCAAACCAGTTCCTACCTTTGTGACACTAACCTATCTATCTATAGTAAATAAATCTCATATGTAGAAAATAACAAAAAAATGCTACAATTTTAAATGATAAGTAAGTGTTTGGATGCGATCCCAAAGTCTCATCCAACATTTACGTTTTCAAAAATGTTTTTTGATGTTTTATACTAATAAAGAGGAAAATGATGGAACAACAAAATGATCCGTGATTGAGTGTCGTATCTACATAACGAAATGTGTTTGTAATATAATCATGATTGATTAGGTGTATTGCAAATGTGAGGAGGTGTCGGGTGATAGTGAAGCCACCATACCACCGCCAAGGAGACAAATGCATCACTCTCTCTCTTTTCATATTATTGTTTACACTTTTTTTATTTTCTTTCTTACATTGGAATCTGTCCCCATACAAACACCATGTGCTCTCGACATGTCTTTCCATTATGATTCCTTCTTTCTTTTACATATTTATTGTGTTTCTTTAATTATGTGAAACTAGATTTTTTTTCTTTCTTAAAGCGAGATATTGTATAACGGGAATGGTAGATATATAAGTAACGGTAAGATCTTTTCAATTGAGAAATGACATTGCAAGAAGAACATGTTATTGTTGTTACCTTTGCCAATAGCTAGGAGTCTTTCTTTTCCCTAGTTACTGTGTTTACATAATTATGTGAAACTAGGTTTGTTTTCTAAAAGCGAGATATTGTATAACGGGAATTGTAGATAATTAACTAAGAGATATTTTCAATTGAGAAATGACATTGCAAGCAGAAGATGTACCAGTATCTTAATATGGGCTTCTTGATGGGTTAAGATCCATTTCAATAGAATAAAAGCTTCAATATCACTCAGACTGTCACATGTCTGGAATTTATGGTTTTGTACCTAAATTTACACTTAAATTAATCATAGCAAAGATTAGTAGTTTATTCCAGTATTTTATTGTCACCGTTTAGATTCAAATTCAACATACTGTATGTTATTGAAAAGAAAAGAGCAACTCCCAAACAAACGGAAAATTTTTAGCTATTGGCAAAGGTAACAATAACATGGGGTCCTGGGCTAAATAGCTCGGCCATATTAGAACATTGGGGTTCTAGGCTAAATAGCTCAGCCTACCTACATGTAGATCCCTAGCTTTGAAGATGGTTTGTCTAGGTGAACAAGATTTAACTAATTTCTGATCCAAAATGGAACATAGATTATTCCATGGCAAGTGGTGCAGTTTCAGTCCATTGACTACTTTAAACTCTATTGTTTTGTAACAATAGTCATACAAGAACTTCTAAATTTTCATAAAATAAAAAAAGAACAACTCAATTAAGAGATTACTATTACGGAAATTTGAGAATTTAAGAGATTACTCTTACAGAAATTTAATACCTCGCCAAATGTGAAGTAACTTGGGGTCAACAGTATACTTGCGGCAGTGGGAGAACGTAAGATAAAGATTATTAGGTCTTCATCGAACATAAATATCCGGTGATTTATTTCTCTAGACAAGTTTCATATTGTCGATCTTAAAGAATTTAGTATCCATCTACAAGAATATGAGAAAATGAGATTCATCACACTAACCTTCATGATTCATGATGTTACAAATTTCAAAGAGAGATCTCAAAGATATGCTCTCGTATTGTCCCTCTGGTTACCAGAGAATAATACGCAAGAGCAATTCCTAAACCCAATTGTTCACTGCAAGCAAATAAGTAAGGTGCATTCTATGGACGGGACCAAGTTTAAGCCAACATTTTTGGTTTAGTTTGCTGAAGTTTGGGAAGAATCTTCAAACCATAGATCGTTACTTTTCACCAAGAGCGGTCTGCTGACAGCGTTTTTGAGCAATTATGAAGATTTTATGTACGCACTTAAAAAATTTCAAATCACATTCTCATTTTTGGTATGACTTTGAGGCTATAAAATCGGGTATTGGCTTTGATATGGTTTTTGAAGAGCATGTGTTTTGGATATTGAAGAGGTGGTTGAGTGTGTTGAAAAGTCTACACATTACTTTACCTTATTTATTTATTTATGTTTCAAGATAACTAATGGATCACTTTCTTGATTCCCGATCTTGGCATCTCTTTTTCTATTACCAAATTGATAGAACATCACTGTTTTAATATCAATTTAGCATATCATCTCATTTGAGAAAACTGCGAGTCTGGAGACCACAAACACCATAAAGCTGGGTCAGCATTAGAGATTAAGCTTCAAATTTCCCAACCAAAAGGTCCGTTGTCGCTCGGTTTCTTGTGGTTGCAGGAGTTAATCTTTGATGTTCATGGACTATTGATAATGATATTATGATACTCAGACATTTTCTTCAACCTCAAGTCCTAGTTAGACTTTCATGAACATTAATGAAAATGCTTTTGCTTAACCTAATCAATTGAATCACATGTCACATATATACTACTCTTGGCTCTTGGGTAATAATGAAAACAGATAATGATTATTAAGCTTAAATTTTTAACATCCAGACAAAGACATCATACTGGCATGTGATTGATTATCGAGCTTAACTTTTTAACATGCTGACAAAAACAAAAGAAAATCCGAAGTTTCAAAAAGAAACACAAAGGTTGCATTGTATCACAAACTAAAAACACCAAAGAGCTGCATCTTCTCCTAATTAAGAAAGAGGCCTTCTACTTCGTAGTTTTCTTCTTCATCTTCTTCTCCTTCTCCATCTTAGCTTTCTTGATCCTCTCAAGTACAATAGCTCATATAAAGTATAAACAGCGAAATTAGTGAGAGGTTCTAATTTTGCAAGAGTTTCTGGCAAAAAAAAAAAAGAAAAAATTCAAGAAACAAGAGCAAATTTACGTACATGGATGTTCACAGCCGGTAGGCTTTCTTTTCTCGGCACTTAGCGGGACAACAAAATCAACTACAATCTTCCATCCTTGTACGTTATGTCCACTTAGTTCCTGCGCCTTCTCTACACATCCTTGTCCCATAATAGAAATTTTAGCATTTCTGCAAAATTTAAGTCTTTAGTTAGAATTTAGTAACTTGAGAGCCGAGAGAAAATTCACGAATCGGAGGAAGAAGCCACAAACCTTTGGTGAACAAAGATTCCATGGACAAAAACAGTAACAAAGGTGACCTCTCCACATGAAGAGAAAATATTCACATGAAGAATTGCACCGGTTGTTTGAGATATTCTTTTGTCAAGAAGAACATATATATTGCTGTTTTGTTATTGTCCGTATTTTTTCTGTAGATTTTGGTTTTTTTCCGCTAAGTGTATTTTTTGTTAGTTCTATCAAAACTTTGAAAATGGTATAAATACTTCACAATACCAAAAAAATCTATATATTGTTGATATCTTGATCACTTGCTATTATTTTAATGTGTAATTTACAAGCAAAAGCGATAAATCCCAAACCTGTGAGAGTCCGAGGGATATTGAACTTCCAAGTTCCAAACCACCAATAAGTCCATATTAGGACTGACACTTGGCTCCTTGGGCCGGCCTAAACCTGGTCACGTGATACCAAATTGCTCTTGGCACAGTCAATGGTATTTGCTTATCTTCACCAACTGTTCCATCTTTTATTCAGTTCAGAAAGCTATATTTAGATCCCTAGCTTTGAAGATTGTCTAAATAAAAGTTCATCTTTCAAAGAATAAGATTGTACTAGTTTTCTAGATCCAAACCAATAGACGGAACACAAATTTTTCATGGCAAGTGTTACAGCAAGTTTCAATCCATTGTAGACTACTTTAAACTTCATTGTTTCATAACAGTAGAGTCATACAAGAACTCCCAAGTTATTCAAAAAAGCGAAAAAGAGTATCTCAACTCAAAACATCATTGCCAAGCAGAGAATTTCAATGTCGAAACAGATACTATTCAGTTGTCTCAGCAAGTTGAGGAGCTTCAGTTTGTCTCAAGCTTTCAAGAGTAGAGATCCTTCTATCCAGAGAGTCATGAAAAGACTTTGCCTGTAGAAAATCAGAGATCATATCTATAGTCAATGGCCATGTCTGTATCCTATACCATTAAAGCTACAGAGAAAATGCTGCTATGGTTCTTCACAAAGATAACAGTTTTATGACACTCAATTCAACCAACAAATGTTTGGCAGTTAAAACTTTGGCATCTCAAGATTCTATTGAAAACTAATTCTAAAGCAAGTTTTAATCATGCAAATGTAGGTATAACCATTACCATCAAAGCTACAGAGAAATGGCTACCATGATGACACCTTTGTGCATCAACTCTACCAAATGTTTGAAGGTTTTCTCGTGTTAGCAATTTTGGCATCTCAAGATTCACAAAAAAGAAACTAATTCTTAATAACGTAAATGAAGCATAAACGTATTATTGGTGGCTATGAAACTCAAGTCCAGAACTAAATCTCACCAGTAGCTAAAAATGGCAAACTCAACCAGAAACCCTAATTCCTAATAAGAACATCAAAAATTGTGTGAAACCTTCTTCCACCATGATTAAAACAGGTTTCATATGAATCTGAATCGCAGAATCACAGAGATGACAACGAGAACCCTAGAAATGCTCTACAGATCAACAAAATTCCAGTCTTAACAACATCTGCTAACGAAATGTATCGATTCAGCTATTCGAAAACAAAATCTAGGGTGAAATAACTTGTTCGCAAGAGACAATCGAAAGAAATGGATCCGATAAGAGAAAACAAAATTAGAATCGATGGCTTACCTGCTGAGAAATCGATTCGTGAGCGACTTTGTAATCCTTGTAGAGAACGGAGAGTCCGATAAAAGACGCAGTCGCAGCTCCGGCGAAGAAAGAAGCCAATCTTACTCTCAACACGTACCCCATCCTTCTTCTTCTTCCTTCGTTCCCTTCTCAAATTTCTCCGATTCTAGGAATTTTTGCTTTAGAGAGACGTGAATCAAAACGACGTCGTTTCTGTGCGTAGCTTAAGAGACCAGTCCGCTGATCAAAACTACATCGTTTTTAAATTCTCCAATTACGTAGACCAGTGCCCTGATCAAAAACCACGACGTTTTGATTCCCCAACTATTTCCTAAACCGACGTCGTTCTGAAACAAATATTAGTCCTGTGAAGAAAATGTAATAAACCTTCATTGACGTCTTTATACCAAAATCACTGTGAGTTCTTTTCTTCTTCTACCTATGGTTTTGTTCCTACCCATCAGAAAAAGGTACAAAAGCCCGAATCTTTTTATAGCTTTGGTCACCATGTATGTTTTAAATCATAGTTGATTTGAAATTTTACTTTACTAGATTGAGAATTTTGATTGGGGTTAGGTTAACTCGAACTTGAATGAATTTCTAATTCAAACCCATATTATCTCTCTGAAACTTGTGTATTCCAATTTGTTATGCAGATAAAGTTTTCTAGAGAAGAATTTAGACATGTTGGGGAGAAAGAAATCTTGTTCCAAAGGATTGAGTCAGAGGTTGAAGGAAGATAGAATAAGCCCATTAACTGAATCTTTGTTATGTCAGATACTTAATTATCTTCCGACAAAGGATGTTGTTAAGACAAGTATTTTATCCACCAGATGGAGAAGTCTTTGGCTCTCGGTTCCTCGTTTGGAATTGGATTCTAGAGATTTCTCTGATTTCAATGCCTTTGTGAGTTTTTGTGATAGGTATTTCGATTCCAATAGGGTTTTATGCATAAACAAGCTCAAGTTAACTATTGGTGACAATGAAGAAGATGGCTTTTATCTCAAGTCATGGATTGATGCTGCAGCTAAGCGTAAGCTCCAACATCTAAATGTTCATTTTCTGCCTCAGTTTCATAAGATTCCTCTAAACCTTTATAAATGTGAGACACTCGTATACTTAAGCCTGGTTAAGGTGACCTTGGCTAAAGGCAGAATCGTCTCTTTCCCTTGTATGAAGACTATGCATTTAGAAGATAACGTGTATCCCAATGAAGCCACTTTCAAGAAACTTATCTCTTGTTGCCCTGTCTTGGAAGACTTGACGGTTATTATATATGGCAAGGATACTAAATCCTTTCCGGTGCACTCTCGGTCACTAAAGAGGCTCACTTTAGTACGGATTTCTTCTTTCCACTCCGGTGCTATTTCGGGAGTTGTGATCAATGCTCCTCTACTATGTGCTTTGAGCATCAATGATAACACATCGAAAAGCTTCATAGTAAACAATATGGGGTCTAGTGCCAAGTTAGATCTTTCTATCCTCTTTGGTTTGTGGGATTTTGATGAAGCAAGCCTTACATCAAGGAGAAGTAGCATCCACAGATTTCTCCCAGGGATTTCAAAGGTTAAGGAACTGATGATACGTACGCGCACTTTCAAGGTATACACCTATATTATATGTCAATGCAGTAATTTGAACATGTAGAATTTCTATCATGACCCACATTATGTTTCTTTCTTGTTCCAGCTCCTCTGTCAATACGCTAAATTAGGACCGCTGCCTCAGTTTGGCAACATATCCGGCTTGCCTCAGTTTCGTAACATGTCCCGCCTGTGTGTTATTCTTTGTGTATATGATTTGAAACTGTTACCAACTTTTCTTGAGAGCTGCCCGAACTTGAAATCCCTCGTCTTGGTAATCATCTGCTAAACCCCGTTGAGCTTACTCTTACTCGTCTTTATGATAGGTTCTGCTTATCCTTTTCACTAACGTTTATACCTCTTCTCTGTTTTCCTCAGGACTCGGATCCTAACTCTAAGAAGATGTGTTTCAACGAGAATGATCTCATCAGTAATTCATTAGTGCCCGAGTGTTTGTTATCTTCGCTAGAGTTTGTCGATATCAAAAGCAGCATCTTAGTATCTGTTGCAGGGATGAAGCTAGTAAGGTACTTCCTAGAGAATTCGACAATCCTCAAGAAACTCAATCTATGCTTGAACTATTGTTCACCAAAAGATGACATCTTCAATAAACTCTGCAAAATCCCAAGACGTTCAATCACATGTCAAGTCGCCATCGTCTTTGATTAGAATCTAAAGCTTTGTTCACCAAAAGATGACACTTACATTATGAAAAACCTTTGACAAAAAAAATAAAACTAATGTAATTATTTAGAAATCTTTGTTTTTGTTTGCGAAATTGAGTTAAGAGTATATAAAATTTACAGTGAAATAACTTGTTTCCAAACCACAATTCGAACCGATCGCGAATTAAACCGACTTCGTTTCTACAAATGGTTTAGGAGACCAGTGAAGCTGCTTAAACGACATCGTTTTTATTCCCCAACTATTATTAAAAACTACGTCGTTGTGAACACAGATTAGTCCCTGTAACCCTTCATTGACCTCTTTGTACCAAAATCACGGTGAGTTTTCTTCTTCTTTAAGTCTTCGTTTGATAGTTTATTTGATTGTTTCTCTGAAATTTATGCTTTCAATTTTTTTACGTAGATAAAGTTTTATTAGAGAGAATCAACACCATGGTGGGTAGAAAGAAATCGAAACAGGCTTGTTCCAAAGGGTTTTGTCGGAGATTGAAGGAAGATATGATAAGCCAGTTACCTGATCATTTGATATGTCTGATACTTAATCATCTTCCGACAAAAGATGTTGTTAAGACAAGCGTTTTATCCACCAGATGGAAAAGTCTCTGGCTTTTGGTTTCTGGTTTGGGTTTGAACTCCCGAGATTTCTCTGATTTCAATACCTTTAAGAGTTTTTGTCATAGGGTTTCCGATTCCAATAAAGCTTTATGGATAAAAAAGCTCAAGTTAACTATTGATGAGAGTGTAGATAATGGTGCCTCTTATCTCAAGTCATGGATTGATGCTGCAGCTAAGCGTAAGCTCCAACATCTTATTGTTCATTCTCTGCCTCATTTTTATAAGACTCCTGAAAACCTTTATGAATGTGAGACACTGGTCTACTTACAACTCTTTGAAGTGGCCTTGAATGATGCCAAGTTTGTCTCTTTCCCTTGTATGAAGACTATGCATTTAGAAGATAATGTGTATCCCAATGAAGCCACTTTCAAGAAGCTTATCTCTTGTTGCCCTGTCTTGGAAGACTTGACGGTTATTATATATGGGAAGGATACTAAATCCTTTCCGGTGCACTCTCGGTCACTAAAGAGGCTCACTTTAGTACGGGTTTCTTCTTTCCACTCCGGTGCTATTTCGGGAGTTGTGATCAATGCTCCTCGACTATGCTCTTTGAGGATTAAGGATAACGTATCGAAAAGCTTCATAGTAAAAAATATAGGTTCTAATGCCAAGTTAGATCTTTCTATCCTCTTTGGTTTGTGGTATTTTGATGAAGCAAGCGTTAGATCAAGGAGAAGTAGCATCCACAGATTTCTTCCAGGGATTTTAAGTGTTAGGGAAATGACAATACATCCGCGCACTTTCATGGTATACACCTATCTTATATGTCAATCCAGAGTTCTTGGACATGTTTCTATCACTATTCACATTCTTTTATGTTTGGTTCCAGCTCATGTACCGATACTTGGCATTAATACCGCTACCTCACCTGCCTAAATTTCGTTACATGTCCCACCTGAGTGTTACTCTTGCAGTATCTGATTTGCAATTTTTACCAGCCTTTCTTGTGAGCTGCCCGAACTTGAAATCACTCATCTTGGTAATTATCTTGGTTAAGCCCTATTGAGATTCCGTTCTGCTTATCTTTTTCACTGAGTTTATTATATATCTCTTTCTCTCTGTTGTCCTCAGGAATCTAATAGTAACTCCTCTGAGAAGATGCGTTTCAAGGGAAACTATCAAATCAGTTTTTCATCAGTGCCAAATTGTTTGCTATCGTCGCTAGAGTTTGTGGATATCAAAACCAACATCTTGGAATACGTTGCAGGGCAGCAGCTAGTAAAATACTTCCTAAAGAATTCAAAAATCCTCAAGAAACTCACTCTACATTTGAATTATTGTTCACCAAAAGATGATATCGTCAAGAAACTCCGCAAATTCCCAAGAGGCTCTAAAACATGTCAAGTCGCCATCGTCTTTGACTAGCTAGAAACAACCTGTGACGCTTTGGCTTTGCTTTAGCAGTTGATATAGGAGGTAAAGTAGCTGTGTGTACCATTTGTTAAGTTACTTGTATCATTTTGGGTCCTCTTAAACTAAAAAAGAGAATGAAATATTTTGTAAGCCCAAAAGAACCTATGAACTTCACTCTGACGAAATTTGCCAAATGATTGATTCTGTAAAATAAAATTCAGACGTTTCGAGTCGTCAACTCGCTCACAGTTTTTGTTCGTCTCTTCTGCGTCAAACATTGCCACCATTTTCGTTTTATTGACCTTTCTTCTATCCATTCTCTTTGTCAATCGTGGGTGTTATTCATCATCGATTCTTTGATGCTTACGAATAAGTGAAAAAAAAAAAAAACAAAGACGGACCTAATGGCCCTAATCTCACACCAAAAATGAAACCGGATTGACATATCCGAAATTTTATGGATTAATAGGGTCAAAATCACTAAAAATGGTTATTAAACCAGTTTGAAATTTCAAACCTTTCGGATTAACAAAAGAAGATGAAGTTTACTAGTTTAGTATTGTTCTTAAAAGTATTGCATTGAACCATTTTATCTTCGTGGTTTATGGGTTCAGCCCGAAAAAAACCGAGTTGGTCTATATGCTTTGATAAAAACCGAGTAGAAGCCAATTGAATCACGAACACATCACACCGTTTTCAGCAACCCCAAGGGTGATATAAACGGCAAGGCGTTTGCACCTGAAAATTGTGTCGAAAAAAGCGAAATCAAGCCGGTTACCGGAACATTTTAATCTTTGTTAAAATTTGATGATGCAGATTGTACAAATGGTGGGAAGAAAGAAGAAACCCAAAATATGTGACAAAGTGTCACATGAGGAAGATAGGATAAGCCAGTTACCGGAACATTTGATATCTGAAATACTTTATCATCTCTCTACTAAGGATGCGGTAAGAACAAGCCTTTTGTCTACCAAATGGAGATATCTTTGGCAATCGGTTCCTGGATTGGACATAGACCCCTACAAATTCTCAAATTTCAATGCCTTTGTGAGTTTTGTTGAAAGCTTTTTTGATTCCCATAGGGATTTATGGATACGCAAACTCCGGTACATACCTGCGAGACACTGGTACACTTACGACTCTGTTGGCTTCGCTTGCCTAGTCCCGAGTTTGTTTCCTTACCTTGTCTGTGTTGAAAGTTAAACTTGATGGACCAAATCCAAGTTCTAGAGTTTTCTCTAGAAATATCATAATTACCACCTCCTTAAAATGTTCTAGAAATCTTCTAGAATCATCTTCCACCTCCTTAAACATAAAAATCTAGATATTCTTATAGAATAATCTAGATAATTAGAATAGTATAATCTAGATATTATGTTAAGAACTCTCTAGATTTATGATTAAAATATTTTAGATATTTTGTAGTTTGGAGGCTATAAATACTTCTTCCCTCTCTCATTTGTTGTAAGGTTATGAAGTTGTCTTCAAGATAAAATCAAAGTAATAAAAGTTCTATTTCCTAAAACTCTCTCTCAAACACTTAAACACTTTCTCCATTACCTCTAAAAGAATTTTACTCTAACAAAGTGGTATCAGTGGTACCTCGATAGTGGTGCAAGTAATCACATGTGCGGGAGAAAAAGTATGTTCGCAGAGCTTGATGAATCGGTGAGAGGAAATGTGGCTTTAGGAGATGAATCGAAGATGGAGGTAAAAGGCAAAGGAAACATTCTCATCCGATTGAAGAATGGAGATCATCAATTTATTTCCAACGTTTACTATATTCCGAGCATGAAGACAAACATCTTGAGCCTTGGACAACTCTTAGAGAAAGGTTATGATATTCGACTAAAAGATAATAACCTTTCTATAAGAGACCAAGCAAGTAATCTCATCACCAAGGTACCGATGTCGAAAAATAGAATGTTTGTCCTTAACATTCAAAATGACATCGCACAATGTCTCAAGATGTGCTACAAGGAGGAGTCTTGGCTTTGGCATCTTCGATTTGGGCATCTAAATTTTGGAGGATTGGAGTTGCTTTCGAAGAAAGAAATGGTGAGAGGACTACCTTGCATCAATCATCCAAATCAAGTGTGTGAAGGATGTCTACTTGGAAAGCAATTCAAAATGAGCTTTCCAAAGGAGTCAAATACAAGAGCTCAAAAACCGTTGGAGCTAATACACACGGATGTGTGTGGTCCGATCAAGCCCAAATCACTTGGTAAGAGTAACTACTTCCTTCTCTTTATTGATGATTTTTCAAGAAAAACATGGGTTTACTTTTTGAAAGAAAAATCCGAGGTGTTTGAGAACTTCAAAAAGTTTAAAGCCCATGTTGAGAAGGAAAGTGGTCTTGCAATCAAAGCCATGAGATCCGACCGTGGAGGAGAGTTTACATCGAAGGAGTTTCTAAAGTATTGTGAAGATAACGGCATTCGAAGACAATTAACGGTGCCAAGATCCCCTCAACAAAATGGTGTAGCGGAAAGAAAGAATAGAACAATTCTTGAGATGGCAAGGAGCATGCTCAAAAGTAAGAGACTACCAAAAGAGTTGTGGGCGGAAGCGGTCGCATGTGCGGTTTATCTATTAAACCGATCTCCAACAAAAAGTGTCTCGGGAAAAACACCACAAGAAGCATGGAGCGGAAGGAAGCCCGGTGTTTCTCATTTAAGAGTCTTTGGAAGCATTGCTCATGCTCATGTACCGGATGAGAAGCGGAGTAAACTAGATGACAAAAGTGAGAAGTATATCTTCATTGGTTATGATAACAACTCCAAAGGCTACAAGCTCTATAATCCTGATACGAAGAAGACAATAATTAGTCGAAATGTCGTTTTCAATGAAGAAGGAAAATGGGATTGGAAATCAAATGAAGAAGACTATAACTTCTTTCCACACTTTGAAGAAGATGACTCGGAGCTAACAAGAGAAGAGCCACCAAGAGAAGAACCTACTACACCACCAACTTCACCAACAAGCTCTCAAGGAGAAGAAAGCTCAAGCGAGAGGACTCCTCATTTTAGAAGTCTACAAGAGCTCTACGAGGTAACCGAAAATCAAGACAATCTTACTTTATTTTGTCTATTTGCGGAGTGCGAACCCATGGACTTCCAAGAAGCCATTGAAAGGAAGACTTGGAGAAATGCCATGGATGAAGAGATAAAGGCGATTAAAAAGAATGATACATGGGAGCTAGCTTCACTTCCAAATGGACACAAGGCGATAGGTGTGAAGTGGGTGTATAAAGCAAAGAAAAATTCTAAAGGGGAAGTGGAAAGATACAAAGCAAGATTGGTGGCAAAAGGTTATAGTCAAAGAGCCGGAATCGACTATGACGAGGTATTTGCTCCCGTTGCTCGTCTAGAAACGGTTAGACTAATCATTTCACTAGCGGCTCAAAACAAGTGGAAGATACATCAAATGGATGTCAAGTCGGCCTTCTTAAATGGTGACCTTGAAGAAGAAGTTTACATTGAGCAACCACAAGGCTACATAGTCAAAGGAGAAGAAAACAAAGTCTTGAGGCTAAAGAAGGCGCTTTACGGATTAAAACAAGCCCCAAGAGCTTGGAATACTCGAATTGACAAGTACTTCAAGGAGAAAGACTTCATCAAGTGTCCATATGAGCATGCACTCTATATCAAAATTCAAAAAGACGATATATTGATTGCATGCTTATATGTAGATGACTTGATATTCACGGGTAACAATCCAAGCATGTTCGAAGAATTCAAGAAAGAGATGACGAAGGAGTTCGAGATGACGGATATTGGATTGATGTCTTACTACCTCGGAATTGAAGTAAAACAAGAAGACAATGGAATCTTCATTACTCAAGAAGGCTATGCTAAGGAGGTACTTAAAAAGTTTAAGATGGATGACTCAAACCCGGTGACCACACCAATGGAATGTGGAATCAAATTATCAAAGAATGAAGAAGGAGAAGGAGTGGATCCAACAACCTTTAAGAGCTTGGTTGGAAGCTTGAGATACTTAACATGCACAAGGCCCGGTATTTTATATGCGGTCGGAGTTGTTAGTCGTTACATGGAGCATCCAACAACAACTCATTTCAAGGCGGCCAAGAGGATTCTTCGCTATATCAAAGGTACCATAAATTATGGCTTACACTATTCTACTTCTAATGATTACAAGCTTGTTGGATATAGCGATAGCGATTGGGGTGGAGACATAGATGACCGAAAAAGCACAAGTGGTTTCGTGTTCTACATTGGAGATACGGCTTTCACATGGATGTCGAAGAAGCAACCAATTGTCACTCTATCCACTTGTGAAGCAGAATATGTAGCGGCTACTTCATGTGTGTGCCATGCTATTTGGTTAAGAAACCTCTTAAAGGAGCTAAGCTTACCACAAGATGAACCAACGAAGATCTTTCTGGATAACAAGTCGGCAATAGCATTGGCGAAAAACCCGGTCTTCCATGATCGAAGTAAATACATTGACACACGTTATCACTACATTAGAGAGTGTGTTAACAAGAAGGACGTGCAATTGGAGTATGTGAAGACACATGATCAAGTAGCCGATATTTTCACCAAGCCTCTCAAGCGCGAAGATTTTATCAAGATGAGGAGTTTGCTTGGAGTAGCAAAATCAAGTTTAAGAGGGGGTGTTGAAAGTTAAACTTGATTTTCAATCAAGTTTAATTATTGGGTCAATTACCCAATAATCATTTGATGGACCAAATCCAAGTTCTAGAGTTTTCTCTAGAAATATCATAATTACCACCTCCTTAAAATGTTCTAGAAATCTTCTAGAATCATCTTCCACCTCCTTAAACATAAAAATCTAGATATTCTTATAGAATAATCTAGATAATTAGAATAGTATAATCTAGATATTATGTTAAGAACTCTCTAGATTTATGATTAAAATATTTTAGATATTTTGTAGTTTGGAGGCTATAAATACCTCTTCCCTCTCTCATTTGTTGTAAGGTTATGAAGTTGTCTTCAAGTTAAAATCAAAGTAATAAAAGTTCTATTTCCTAAAACTCTCTCTCAAACACTTAAACACTTTCTCCATTACCTCTAAAAGAATTTTACTCTAACAGTCTGAAGATCATGCATTTAGAAAATGTTACTTCTCCCAATGAGACTACGTTGCAGAAACTTATCTCAGGCTCTCCAGTTCTGGAAGATTTAAAACTTATAAGATGTTCGTATCAGAAGGCAATACAAGTTCGCTCTCATACGCTAAAGAGAATCGACATTGATGAGAGAACTAAAGTTGTGATTGATGCACCTTTACTCCAGTGTCTGTTGACTGAGATGTTCTTAACAAAAAACTATCAGATCGTCAATTCAGGTTTCCCTGCCAAACTAGATATTGATATGCGATCAATGCACCTCTACCCCAGACCCAATGAAGGCGTGATTCGGGATATCCTCACCGATATTTCGAGGGTCAGGGATCTAGTTATTAGTAGGAATACTTGGAAGGTTTACATTTCAACATTTGAGCATATTTATTTATAAGTATTCCTCCACAAAAGTTTCTCACCATAACATTTTTGCTTTTTTTTGGTTCACCTATGTTACCAGGTATTCTTTCTATACTCGGAATCGAGACCAGTGCATCAGTTTCGTAACCTATCCCGCTTGAATGTTAGATTTTATATATTTGATCTTGAAATGCTGCCAACCCTTCTTGAGAGCTGCACAAAACTAGAATCTCTCACTTTGGTAATGAAATAGCTTTTCTCCTCTGATTTAGTTCTGGCCTGTCCAAAAAAGTTGAGTAGAGAGATACATAAAAGATTTTATATTGTTTGTGAAAATCTTTTATGTATCTCTCTACTCAACTTTTTTGCAGGAAATTTTGAAGGACCCATCCATGCATCACGAGGAGAAGAGAGAACCAAGTGTGATGTTTGCAGCAGTGCCTCGTTGTTTGGTATCATCGCTCAAGTTCGTCGAATTGAAATGTTCAACCCCAATGTATGAAGGAGAAATGGAGCTAGTAAGATACTTCCTGAAGAATTCAACAATGCTGCAGAAATTAAGGCTCAATGTTTACTACACCAAAGAGGCAAAGTGTGCTTTCCTTACAGAACTCGTTGCAATGCCAAGATGCTCTAGCACATGTGAAGTCCTTGTTCTTTAATTACTCAAAAGATATTGCTGAACATTTCGTTTAATGTTAATCTTTTGGTCGTTAACTTAGTTGATTTTAGGAGGCTATATTAGGCTTAGAGCCACATGTAAATGTTAATCCCAAATGAAAAATAAAACCGGATAGGATTAATAGGCTCAGAATCACTAAAAATGGTTATCAAAACTTCAAATGGAGAAAGCGGATCATTTTGAAGTTTTCAAACCTTACGGGTTAACAAAGAAGATGAAGTAATTTCCGTCTCATAGGATACGTCAAACATTACTTAATTAACCATATAATAACCATGACTCTCTGTTTGAACCGATTAAAGCCAGGTTTAAACCAGATTTTAGGATTGTGAACAAAATTGAGTATTTCCGGTTTAGTCTAATCGGCCTTTTTGGTTGTTTCTTGGTTTTTGCGTTGCCAAATTACACGCTATCCGAAATATTTTTCGCTGGACCAATTTCTCTTCATGCTTTATTGGTTAAGACCGAACAAAACCGAGTTGGTTCAATTTGATTGTATATGCTTTTTTTTTTTATATCAAAAAAATTAGAAGCACAAACACATCACACCTTTTTTCTTCAGCAACCCTAACGGAGAGACAAACGGCAAGGCGTTCGTAGTAAGAAGTGTTAAAAGGAGAAGTTGAAAAGACTAATTCAAGCGCCATTAATTAACAGTAGCCTTTAGACCATTGAATCGTGTAGGAAGACGAATATGTTTGATCTGCCGTGGTAATTAAACTCCATTCCGGTACGTTCTTCTTCTTTTTATTATTATACTGTTGCTTGATTTAGTCATCTTCAAAAACCTTGAAAACCCTAAACCCTAGCAAGCATGTAATTTTAGTTTTCTTCATTCGTAACGATATCTGTTTTGACTCTCTCCGACGAATATTTATGTATGGGCTTTTTTCATGTGGTGCAACTTGAAATTTTGTAATATTTTTCTTAACTAGTACTCAAGGAGAATTTTGCAATTTATCTGTGTAACATTTCATTTTTTTTTTTTTTGCTAAATTTGATTAGTTTGAAGAAAAGAGAAATGGTGGGTAGAAAGAAGAAACCCAAAATATGTGACAAAGTGTTGTCATCAGAGGAAGATAGGATAAGCCAGTTACCTGAACCTTTGATATCTGAAATACTTTCTCATCTTTCTACCAAGGATGTTGTACACAAGCGTTTTGTCCACAAGATGGAGATATCTTTGGCAATGGGTTCCTGGATTGGATGTTGAGTTCAACACATTCTCAGATACCAAAACCTTCGTGAGTTTCGCTGAAAGGTTTTTTGATTCCCACAGGGAGTCATGGATACGCAAACTCCGGTTAAATATCTGTCTTCCTTTGGGTAAGTGTGATCTCAACTCATGGATTGATGCTGTGACTACGCGTAGGATTCAGAATCTTGATGTTAACTTTTTTCCTGCTAATGAGATACCCCTGATCATATATGCCTGCAAGACTTTGGTACACTTACGACTTGTTTGGGTTGCCTTGGCTGATGCCGAGTTTGTTTCCTTTCCTTGTATGAAGATCATACATTTAGAAGAAATTAGATATCCCAATGAGATCACGTTGCAGAAACTTATCTCAGGCTCTTCAGTTTTTGAAGATTTAACCATCATCAGATCTCCGGCTAAGGTTTTACAAGTGCGCTCTCATACGCTAAAGAGAGTCGACATCGATGAGTCTACTGAAGTTGTGATTGATGCACCTTTACTCCAGTGTTTGAGGACTAAGATTATCTCAACAAAGAAAGATCATCAATTTGGGTTTCTCTACCAAACTGGATATTGGTATCGGCTTTAGCAATGCGACATGCGGTAAAAGTTTGATTCACGACATCTTCACCGATATTTCGAGGGTCAGGGACCTAGTTATTAGTAATGTTATTTTGAAGGTATACATACATCTCAACGTTTGAGCATATATAAGAATATTCTTCCACGAAAGTTTCTCACCATAACATTCTTTTTTACTTGTTCGTTTACTTATGTTACCTGCAGGGAATCTTTCTATACTCCAACTCGGGACCGGTGCTTCAGTTTCAGGACCTCCGTCGCTTGAATGCTGAATTTTCTCAATCTGATCTTGAAATGTTGCCAACCATTCTTGAGAGCTGCCCAAAACTAGAATCTTTCATATTGGTAATGATTCACGCATATTGTTTGTGAAAATCTTTTATCTATCTCTCGACTCCACTCAATGTTTTTCATTCTGTTTTTGAAGGAAATGGTCAAGGACTCATCCATGCGTCATGAGGAGAAGAGGGAAGCACATGTGATGTTTTCAGCAGTGCCGCGGTGTTTGGTATCATCGCTCAAGTTTGTGGAACTGAAACGTTCGATCCCAATGTATGAAGGAGAAATGGAGCTAATAAGATACTTCCTGAAGAATTCAACCATGCTGGAGAAATTAAGGCTCAATATTTACTACACGAAAAAGACAAAGTGTGACTTCCTTACAGAACTCATTGCAATACCAAGATGCTCTACCGCTTGTGAAGTCATTGTTCTTTAATTACTCAAAAGATATTTTGCTCAACATTTCGTTAAGGTTAATCTTTTGGTCGTTTAGTATCATTGCTCTCTTTATGTTGAGGATTAAACCAGTTTTTTAGGATTCTGAACACAATTGAGTATTTTAGGAGTAAGACTTTTGGTTTATTGGTTCTTCTTGCGTTGCCAATTACAGTATTCGAAATGTTTTGCATTGCAAAATTTAATTATCTACGTGGTTTATCGGTTTTCAGACCGGACAAAACCGAGTTGGTCCAATATGATTATATGCATTTATATTAGCCTTAAGACAAAATTAGAAGCACAAAACACTACGCACTGTTTCATGAACTCCAACGGAGACATAAACGGCAAGGCGTTTGCAATCGAAACTGTGTTAAAAAAAAGGAGTCGAAGAGACGAATTCGAGGGCCATTAATTGTAAAGAAATTTTCACGTTTCCAATGAAAAAAAGATTTACTCTCAACGTTTGGCAAACTGAGATTTCATTCTCATGGTTTGACAGTTAAAGCTTATTATAACGAAAATACCCCTAATGAATTAAACCAAACAACACAGTTACTTTCGGTTTAGTTACTTTTTCTTTTCTTTGCGGTTTGGTTTTTGAATTAAAAAAAAAAAAAACAATTACGAAGAAAAGGAAGAAGAAGAACGAGAGAGACTTGAGCCATACTTTGGCTTCTTGTTAGAAAAAAAAAACCCAAAATTGAATTGAAAGGGGAATCTAGGGTTTACTCAATAATCGAGATGGTTCCCAAATCAAGCGACGGCGAGGCCAAGGATGGATCTTCAAGCGAAACCCAATCGACGGAGTACATGGAAATTTCCACGGGCGATGAATCTTCTATGCTGGGGAAGCGCAAGGTTGAAACCCCCATCCTGGAGGATCTCAGTGAAAACGAAGGCGACATAGAAGGTGTCGACGATGATAGTGATTCCGAATGGGATAAGGATAGCTTCGATGGTCTGGAATATCATTCATGTGATGATCAGAAGGAGTATATCGACAAATATTTTGAGAAGAGGGCCCGTTTTTACAAGCGCACGGTCATCGAAACCAAAGTATGATCATCATTTTCATCTCTATACGTATCGAATTTTGAGTCTTTTATTGATTGGGTCATATAAAATCAAGTAACATTGTTGTAGTTAAATTTTTTGTTTTGGTTTTAGGGTTTTTTTGAGGCAACTAACGAATTCCCACCTTACCTTTTGGCTGGAATTGCTACAGTCCCTGGACGATGACCTTGAGGAAGGTTTGACCGTTCGTCAGTTTTTAGCAAACATGACATCTCTGTGTCTTGACAAATATAACAAACGAAAGGTAACATCTCTAGTTTGACTTTCAGAGTCCTAGGCAATATGAGATGAGCCATTCTTGTCTCTTGTTTTCAGGGATTCAATGTGAAGTTGGAGCATGTTTTGAGGGCTAATTTCAACCCAGGGGGCAGGACAACATACTACATCACATTTGCTGCTAGAGAGTCTGATTCTCCTGATGCACCTCTAGTGGAATATCAAGTTAAGGTGGATTGGTCTGCGGGCAATACTTATCCCATCCTTTGCAGACCCACTTCTCCACCAAAACTGGTTGAAGGTAGCCGAGGAGATCTGATGCGGTCATCAACCCAAGAACCAACCATGGAGAAGATTATGGGCGAGAAACAACAACCCAGGAGCAGCCAAGTGGGAATTTTAACCAAGTTTTATCCAAAACTTCAGGACAAAGCCAATTCAGCCTACCCGAGAAGACCCCTCAGCATTTTTCAGTCCAGACGAAGGCCAAGATCAATTCCTCCTGCCCAGAGATCACTTGGAATACATTCTCAGCTCAACTACCGACAACCACGAAGAAGAATCAGCCCAAACGGAGTTCACACGAAGGAGTTATTCAATTTTCAAACGGGATGATCCCCAACGAACTCGGTTTGGACCTACGTGCAGTTATTGGAGGATTCCGACCAAACCAGAAGGCGTTAAGATACAAAGTGAATTTTCGTACACTCTTGACTCATCAGAGGAGCTTTTTGAATTGGAGTCAAGTCAATACCGATTTTGGTTTAGAAGATATTAATTTTCTAAACCAGATGATGCTCAGCTTGCCTTATTTGGAAGCTGACGGGTTTAATTACTTGCAAACCAAACTTTGGCGTCCAGGAGAGTTTCTATTACAACTAGAGACTCCTAAGATCACCTCAAGCTTCATTCTCAGCCCTTGGATCAAGTGGATTCAATCTTTCCTAATCATACACCAAGAGTTACCATATCTTCTGATTTGGTGCGAATTAAGGGAGTTATTAGAAGATTAATAAGCCATGGAATCATCCAGAAGCTGTCAAGATACAAGATCCCACGAATTACTCCTTTTGGCCTAAGCATTCAAAGCCTAACGGCTAATATTCTTTCAAGGCACATCTCCACTTGATTTCTTTGATTTATTTCGTGTATTGCTTTCCTATTTTGAGTCATGAGACTGTTGTACCAATCCTAGAGTCGAGCCTATATAAGCTCAAGTCATTTCTTTGTAAAAACCACCCTTGATCAATTTTAAAGTAATAAGAAACATTTTCTTCTTGTCAAAGTTCGAGTCTTTGTCGTTTATTCATTAGTCTTAAGTGAGTGAGTCTCTTAGGCCTATTTGAATCTGCGGATTAAGTTTGTTGATAAGTTCAACATCCTTCTTTCGTTCATTGATCGAGTGAGTCGATTAAGTTGGCTCTACTCTTTAGTTTATTTCTTCATAATCTACTCTACTCTGTTTGTCTTTATGCATTGTATTCCCTTTTTTCGAGCAGTTATATTATGAATGAATGAACTTTTTATTGTTTGCAGACAACATGTATGAAATACGTATGGTTTTGTGTACGTACACTGGTTTTGTACATAGCGGATTAAACTAGTAAAACGTACGACCACTTAGTATATTTCAACAAGTATGAAAGACTTTGTCTCTGGTGTACGTACACTAAAAAAGTACATAGCGTAAAACTAATATTACGTACATAGCCGATTAAACTAGTAAAATATACGACCACTTAGTATATTTCAACAAGTATGAAAGACTTTGTCTCTGGTGTACGTACACTAAATACGTACATAGCTGATTAAACTAGTAAAACGTACACAGACAATATATTTTAATAATGGCGTATAGCTGTACGTACAAGTAGCATATATTTTATTATTCATAGTTTTATTTGAAAAGAACAATAACTTTATATAGTTTAAGAAACAATACACTTCGTAAGCCTCAGCTGCGGTAACTAGCCGATGATCATTCAGTGACCCACTTGCTGAAGCTCTAATACCACACTCGAGAACATCATCCCCAGTGACTTTGTCTATACCATTAAGATTGGTATCCATGTACGTAACAAAATCACTTTCGCAGCATGTATCTTGTACACAGTCTCTAGTGTACGTACATTGGTACAAACCATGTTGACACGTACGTGTTGGAGTCACGGTTGGTGTACTGTCACCCAAATGAGAAAAGTTATCTCCGCCAGGTACACGATGACTTGTGTACGTACACTCTGCCAATAGACGACTGAATTCCCCTGGATGTTGAACCGTTTGTTGAGTGAGAATGACGTTCTCCTCAACATTCTCTATTCCATATTCTTCAACAATTACATCGTTCCACTTGTTGTAATCGTAATCTTCGCCAGTACCTTCACTACCGTCTATAGTAGGATCGAGGGTACTTCCCCCCATAGATCTATCATCACCCTGATAATCATCATACCCAGCACCATCTTCGTTTTCCTCCTCCTCTTCTTCATCCTCATATGTTTTATCGTATTCAACGTCGTCTTGCTCATCTACGGCCTCATTATTTCCATCTACATTTGAAGCCGCTACGATGGGATTTGGTGTTGTTGCACTCCCACACACACGGTAACTCTCACCATCGTCACCATCGGTCCTAGGGACAGTATTCCCGAGTGCCTTGACGGTTGTAATGAAAGAGACAAACAAGGTGACACTAAGATCCCCACCACGAATCAAAAAGAAGGTATTCAGGCTCATTTGATTGTTAATGTAGACAGGAGGGCGTTTACTTTCTATCATCACTGACATCTTTCCCGGCATCCAGTAACTAATTATTGGATTGCATTCGGTGGACTTCAAACTGAAAACCTCGCATAATGTACGTACAAATTCCGTGTACGTCATGTTTTCCTTAACACGTACACAACGACCAAACCAGCCTTCCCATGGTTCAAATTTCCATTCTTCTTCTTTGCATCTCCACTCACCCACCATAGTAAATACAGGAATATCCATTACCCACCTGCATCATAAATTCAGCAGAACCCCATTAAATGCAAATGAAAGCATGATTATATCTACAAAAAAACAAAAAGAATTCCCAACTACACACTTATATACATAAATCTATCCTCATTTAGCATTTTCAACTAAAAAAATTGGAAATAAAAATATTCTGGGTTTTTATATAAAAACAATGTTGATTTCGAACACAATCAAGACGCTAGTGTGTTATAATAAAAAACTTCTTAACTAATTTCATTACTTACACGATCAATGCTTGTCTTGGCTCCAAACTTTGTAAATCAAGAAGATCAAAACTTCTCCAGCATCACATTCGTTCAAAATAATTTGTTTGTTTGATGGATCATGTTTGTCTCTTACAACTCCTTCAGCAAATAGCACAGCTAGTCCATCAACATGTTTGATGTCCGCATCATACGACCTTTCCAAACAGTTACATCCTAAAAATACCTAAATCACATAAGTCTTATACTATGTACGTACACAAAAATATTTATTGAAGCGTACATGGTACAACATTAATTTAATTTTTTGACATCAAAATTAAGTTATTATGTCAGTTATTTGTATGACTGTATTTTTTTCATATGTTGTTCATACATGATTTGAATGTTTTGTTTTTATAGTCAAAAAATATTTGAAACGTAAATATACAAATTATTTAGATATTTACGTACATATATACACACACATTACTACCGTGTACGTACACATTATTACCGTGTACGTATATATTATTACCGTTACACACATATGTGTATATGATATTGCTAATCGTGAATAGTCTTCGATAATAATAAATAAAATATTATTTAAAATAGAAATAAAAATATGAAAATGGGTCTGATAGAAAAAAAAGAATTTTAACTAAAAATATAAAAACAATAAATATTTATAAAATGGAAAAGCGAATCATCTACTGACAAGTGTTTAAGATTTTCAAACCACACACGGCTCTGTGTCACGTTAAAACATACTATTCCTCAATGTTTTTCTTTAGTTGTGAGGTTTGTTTCTACTGCTTCTCGTATTTGACATATGATTATGTAAATTGCGTAACAGAGCTGGAGTTTTGTGAGTCTCATTAGAGTCAATTTGTGTGTTGATCATAGTTGATTTCAATTATTTACTGAAAACAAATTATTAATATTTTTTTAATTGAGTTCGTAGAAAACTTGTATGAAATTGGTAAGATATTTTTGGTAGAAATATGTCCTTATTTGAGTTTTTTCTATTTACATGTATGTAGTTTACGGTATACACAGTATTGATTATAAAATGGATATGTACTTCAGTTATATCATGTACTATTGTGGAGACGGTGTACGTAATATTTATAGAGTTTGTATTTTAGTTTTTCGACTTCAAAATACGCTAATATAAACTAGATTTACAAAATCAATAAATAAATTAAATGTAAAAAAACAAAAGATTATAAGAAAATTGTGAACAGTCAATCGCATAACTGAACCGCATAACTGAACCGTGTACAGTGTACGTAACTGAACCGTACAGTGAACAGTACATCGCATAACTGAACTGCATAACTAAACCGGAACAGTGTACATAACTGAACCGCATAACTGAACCGTACAGTGAACAGTACATCGGTACGCTGGCAGGGGTAAAATGGTCAGATTTTGGCTAAATTGTCAAAACTTGAAAGTCAATTCTCACTTTACCAAAACATGAAATTAAAACTTGGTCTTATGCCAAAACATGCAATTTGCCCTTAATTGTAATTTGTCACAGTGGTTAAAGGCACTTCGATCGATGGGCCTTAGTTAGGGTTCGTCGTCTAGCTAGAGAACCTTTGAGTCTTTGAGGAAGAGGAATAGGTTTTATCTGCCGTGGTAATTAAACTCCATTCGTGTGAGTTCCTTGATTTTTAGTATTCTTTATAAATCCCTTGCATCAGTGGCGGAGCCAGGACAACGACTCACTGGGGTCAAAAAATTTTTAACGAAACAAAAGTTTAGACTTTACTAAAACCATAACAATATCATCACAAATATAGATCCTAAAGATGAACTCTACGCTCACTCATATCTTGGAATCGTTAAGGATCTGTTGATTAAAAGAAAAACAAAGAAGAAGAAGCCAAACCATTTTATAGGCTATAACGAGTAACGACGTATGTTTTAGGTTAGATTACAATTATTGGGCTTCTATATTTATGTTAATTTTGATAGATTTTAGTTGGGCCTTATATTATATATAGCTTAATACAGTTGTTGGGTTTGTATATGTATATAATTCAACATATTACTAAGCTTCCCTTTGCTTGTAGGTGAACTAAAATATTCATAGGGGTCAATTTATTTGTTGGACTGTGGTCAATATAATTTTTTTAATAAAAACTTAATATTTTTCAAAATTCCACTGGGGTCATTTGACCCCTATAATTCTTCTCTCCCTCCGCCCGTGCCTTGCATGTAGTTTTAGTTCTTCTATCTTTCTTCGTTACAATAACTGGAACTCAAGGAGAATTTTGCAATTTATCTGTATTTTGAGAAACGTGTATCCAGATTAGGTTGATGCAATTTATCTGTGTGACCGTATCTGGTATTTTATTCGAAATTAGTTGGTTGTTTCTGTGACTTACAAAATTTATCTTTGTGAATTTTGATGATGCAGATCATAGTTGTGTGAAGAAAAGAGAAATGGTGGGTAGAAAAAAGAAACCCAAAATATGGGTCAAAGTGTCACATGAGGAAGATAAGATAAGCCAGTTACCTGAACACTTGATATCTGAAATACTTTATCATCTTTCTACTAAGGATGCTGTAAGAACAAGCCTTTTGTCTACCAAATGGAGATATCTTTGGCAATCGGTTCCTGGATTGGACTTAGTCTCCTACAAATTCTCAAGTTTTGATGCCTTTGTGAGTTTCGTGGAAAGTTATTTTGGTTTCCACAGGGAGTCATGGATACGCAAACTCCGGTTACGTTTTGATTATAGTCAGGGTATGCGTGATATCTCGTCATGGATTGATGCTGTGAGTACACGTAGGATTCAGCATCTTGATGTTAACTATCGTGGGTATGATAAGACACCCCTGAGCATATATACCTGCGAGACATTGGTACACTTACGACTCTGTGGGGCTGACTTGCCCAATGCCGAGTTTGTTTCCTTACCTTGTCTGAAGATCATGCATTTAGAAGATATCATATGTTCCGAAGGGACCACGTTGGAGAAACTTATCTCAGGCTCTCCAGTTCTTGAAGATTTAACCATCATCAGATCTTCCTATACATATTATGATCGTAAGGCAATACAAGTTCGCTCTCATACGCTAAAGAGAATCGATATAAATGAGGGCATCCACGTTGTGATTGATGCACCTTTACTCCAGTGTCTGAGGACTGATATGTACTCAATAAAGAACTTTCGGATCATCACTTTGGGTTTCCCTTCCAAACTAGATATTGATATGCAATTAATGCACCTCTACCTCAGACCCAATGAAAGCGTGATTCGGGATATCCTCACCGATATTTCGAGGGTCAGGGATCTAGTTATTAGTAGGAATACTTGGAAGGTTTACATCTCAACATTTGAGCATATTTATTTATAAGTATTCCTCCACAAAAGTTTCTCACCATAACATATTTGCTTTTTTTTTGGTTCACTTATGTTACCAGGAAATCTTTCTATACTCACAATCGAGACCAGTGCTTCAGTTTCGTAACCTATCCCGCTTGAATGTTAGATTTGATATATTTGATCTTGAAATGCTGCCAACCCTTCTTGAGAGCTGCACAAAACTAGAATCTCTTGTATTGGTAATGAAATAGCTTCAATCCTCCGATTTATGAATATTGTTTGTGAAAATCTTTTATGTATCTCTCTACTCAACGTTTTTGAAGGAATTGTTCAAGGACCAATCCATGCGTCGTCATGAGGAGAAGAGAGAAATGAATGTGATGTTTTCAGCAGTGCCTCGGTGTTTGGTATCATCACTCAAGTTTGTCGAATTGAAACGTTCAATCCCGAGGTATGAAGGAGAAATTGAGCTAATAAGATACTTGCTGAAGAATTCAAGAATGCTGCAGAAATTAAGTCTCAATGTTTACTACAAGAAGAAGGCAAAGCGTGACTTCCTTATCGAACTCGATGCAATGCCAAAATGCTCTAGCGCTTGTGAAGTCCTTGTTCTTTAATTACTCAAAAGATTTTGCTCAACATTTCGTTTAAGGTTAATCTTTTGGTCGTAGTATCATCGCTTTCGAGTTTATATTTTTGTTCTTTTTAGGATTCTGAACACAAATGAGTATTTTCGGTCGAGTCTCATAAAACTTTTTGATTATTGGTTCTTGCGTTGCCAGTTACAGTATTCGAAATGTTTTGCATTGGACACAACCGAGTTGGTTCAGTTTGAATGTTTGATCAGAGCCGGCCCTAGACACAAGCTGGTGAGGCATGTGCTTGTGGCCCCAAAAATATATAGTTCTTAATCGGCCTCTTTTACATAAAAGTCTCTTTAGTCTAGTGGTTTAAAGATGTGAAAATATTACTAAGGTCTCAAGTTCGAACCTTTACTGTAACACATTTTACCTGTTTTAATTTCTTTTCCTTTGTCTACAATATAGTTCGGCCCAAACATTATATTGGGCTTGTGGCCCCAGTTTATCTTGCGCCGGCTCTGTGTTTGATTATATTCTTTTATATTAGTCCTAAGATAAGATTAGAAGCACGAACCATACACACCGTTTTCATCAACACCAAAGGAGAGATAAACGGCAAGGTGTTTGCAATTCGAATTGTGTCAAAAAGGAGTCGAAAGGCTAATTCAAGCGCCATTAATTCTCATAGTGGTTAAAGGCACTTGGTGACTTAGGGTTCATCATCTTGCTACATGTTGAATGGTGTAATTATGACCTCTTTGAGGTCAGCTCTCTCATTTTTGTTGGCTGTTCTTGTTCTCTCTGTTTCACACTATCTTTCTTTAGATATAAAACAAGAGCACTTACTAATACTCTCTAGTTTTTGGGTTGTTTCCTGTTCTAACACGTAAGGATACTGCTCTTACAACATATATGTAATATGTAGTTACTACATACTGTTACACATACTCAGTGCCGGCTCAAATACGGGGTGCGACGGCTAGGGCCCAATCCCATGCTCCAATAATTAAGGGACCCATTTTAAAAAATATTTTTATAAAAGTATTAAACATCATGCATTTTATTGGTTCATGCATTTTAATAGATTTGGAAATCTAAACAAAAATCATGTGTTACTCAATCATTGATTTAAAAATGTTTGTCAAAATAACGTGATATTGGTCTAGAACTCTTTATAAATACTAGTTAGAATCATGTGTTATTCGTTTATTGATTTATTCTTGGATTTCAAAATCAACATTAGATTCACATTGAATTATAATCGACTTTCATGTAAATACAACTCAAATCCATAGGTAACCCATGTTTATCTTAAAATCCACATATCTGATTTTTAAAATCAGTGAGGATTTATATAAATCTCATATGGATTTCAAAATATATTGGTTGCCCCTAAGCTAAAATTAAACAAAACAAAACACATCTTTATTTGGGCTTTAACGAAAACGATGGCCCATAATACTTTTCAGTCCAAAGCCTTCTTCTTCCCTTTGTGTCGACATCAGTTTCAACACTATATAACCTTGGAGGAAGACGAATAGGTTTTGATCTGCCGAGGTAACTAAACTCCATTCCCGTGTGAGTTCCTTCTTCTTCTTTTACTGTTCCTTGATTTTTAGTAATCTTCAAAAAGCCCTTGTATGTAATGTTATTTCTTCTATCTCTGTTCATTACGATATCGATTTTGAGTCTCGCGTTGCAATTTATCTGTGTTTCTGAGAAACACATCTAGATTAGTCTGATACAATTTATCTGTGTGTCCGTATCTCGCATTTCATTCGGAATTAGTTGGTTGTTTTTGTGACTTTAAATCTTTCATTTTTTTCTGAAATTTGATGATGCAGATTCGTTGTGTACGTGAATCAAGAAAGAGAAATGGAGGGCAGAAGAAAGAAGCAAACCAAAATACGTAACAAAGTCTCACATGAGGAAGATAGGATAAGCCAGTTACCAGAACATTTGATTCTGAAATACTTTTTCATCTTTCTACCAAGGATGCTGTAAGAACAAGTGTTTTGTCCACCAATTGGAGAAATCTTTGGCAATCGGTTCCTGGACTGGACTTGGAACCCATCGAATTCTCAAATTTCGATGCCTTTGTGAGTTTTGTTGAAAGGTTTTTTGATTCCCACAGGGAGTCATGGATACGCAAACTCCGGTTAAATTATTGTTCTCCTCATGGTAGACTTGATCTCTCGTCATGGATTGATGCTGTGACTACGCGTAGGATTCAGCATCTTGATGTTCGTTTTTTTTGCGGTAATGAGATACCCCCGAGTTTATATACCTGTGAGACACTGGTACACTTACGACTCTGTGAGGTCACCTTGTGTAATGCTGACTTTGTTTCCTTGCCTTGTCTGAAGATCATGCATCTACAGCATAATAAATATCCCAATGAGACTACGTTGCAGAAACTTATCTCAGGCTCTCCAGTTCTGGAAGATTTAACCATCTACAGATCTTGGAATGGTGATGATAAGGCGAATGTTTTACTAGTGCGCTCTCATACGCTAAAGAGAGTCTATATAAATGAGGGCACCCAAGTTGTGATTGATGCACCTCTACTCCAGTGTTTGAGCGCTACGGTTTCCTCAACAAAGAACTTTCAGATCATCAATGTTGGTTCCTCTGCCAAACTAGATATTGGTTTCCCCTATTGCCATACGACATACAGTAGCATGATTCCTGACATTCTGACCGATATATCGAGGGTCAGGGAGCTGGTTATTAATAATGCTATTGTTTGGAAGGTATCTATTGCATCTCAACATTTGAGCATATATATATATATATGAATATTGTTCAACGAAAGCTTCTAACCATAATTAAGATTCCTTTCTTCTGTAACCAGGAAATCTTTCAATACTCGAAGTCGGGACCAGTGCTTCAGTTTCATGACCTATCCCGCTTGAATGTTGAATTTTCTAAATCTAATCTTGAAATGTTGCCAATGCTTCTTGAGAGCTGCCCAAAACTAGAATCTTTCGTATTGGTAATGAATAACTTTAGCCCTCTGAGTTATGCATATTGTTTGTGAATTTTTTTGTGTATACTTCTTTTCTCAATTTGTTTTCTTCTATATTTGTTTTCTTCCGTTTTTGCAGGAATTGGTTAAGAACCGATTCATGCGTGGTAAGAAGGAGAAAGAACCAAAGGTGATGTTTGCAACAGTGCCTCAGTGTTTGGTATCATCCCTCAAGTTTGTGGAATTGAAACATTCGATCTCGGGGTATGAAGGAGAAATAGAGCTAATAAGATACTTGCTGAAGAATTCAACAATCCTGAAGAAACTAAGGCTTGATCTTTACTATTCAAAAAAGGCAATGTGTAACTTTCTTAAAGAACTCGTTGCAATGCCAAGATGCTCTAGCACATGTGAAGTCCTTGTTCTTTAGCTAGTAAAAGATATTGCTCAACTTTTCGTTTAATGTTAATCTTTTGGTCGTTAAATTAGGATGCTATAGGCTTTGCCCCACAAGCAAATATTGCAGTTTGTCTATCACACACTTCTTCGTCCTCCGTCACTGGAAGTTGTCCTGTGTTAACCTTTTTTTTTTGTTCATCTGTGATCTAGATTTTCTTTTGAGATATATGTCTGAGATTACAAATCTAGGGTTTTTTTTATGTTTGATTGGGTTTCCCCGCTAAAATGTTGATCTTAAGCTCTGTTTTTGTAATTTCAAATCCGTCTCTTTTAAAACTTTTAGTTTTCAATTATGTTATGCAGGTTGCTAGATCATGCGTTTAGAATATATTTGATATCCCAATGAGGCCACCTTTAGGAGACTTGGCTCTTCCCCCCTTGTCCTTGAAGAGTTAGAGGTGGAATAAATATGTTGATTTTGAGGCAAATGTCTTTGAAGAGACTCACTATAAGTATACGGGTACATGTGCCTGATTCTGATACAGGAGTTCTGATTGATGCCCCTCCACTACACTTTTTGGGCATCTATGGTAACCTATCAGAGAGAGCTAGCTATATAATAACCATTATGGATTCCAATATCAAGTTAGATCTTGATCTCAGCTCTGGTTTGTTTTCAGAAGTAGTTTTATCCATGAGACATAGTTTGCTCAGTTTTCTCCCACATATTTCAAAGATCAGGAATATGTCCATACATCTAGACACTTTCAAGGTATCTATGTCGATTCCGGCTCTGGACATGTACATTTTCCATCATGAAAGTTTCAAAATCACTAGAAATCTTCTTTTCTTCACTTAGTCACGTGTACTTATTTAACCAAAAAGACCAGGATTAGACCAGATTTAACAATATGAATAAAATTGGGATTTCCGGTTTAGTCCAACCGGAGAGTTGGTTGTTTATTGGTTCTTTCTTTGTGAAGGTTGCCTACGTACCATTGCCATTGACAGCAAACTCGTCTCCAATACTTCTTACGAAATTAAAAATGTTTGAAATTGACATTGAGGATAATGTTATTAAACGTCAATATATCCAAAAGCTAAGATGGTGTTATTCAATGATGAATTTTAATAGAATTGAAATCCAACACTAATCTAGTGTTATTCAACTAATGATTCTAAATCTAATTTTAAAATCTGGTGTTATTTGATCTTATATTTGTAAATCATGTTTAATAGATTTTAATGTTTGTTGTTATTCAACTAAGATTTAAAATATTTTATTAAAATCCAGTGTTATTCAAAACTAAAGTGGTGTTATTCAGTGATAGATTTTATTAGAATTGAAATCCAACACTAATCTAGTGTTCTTCAACTAGTGATTCTAAATCTAACTTTAAAATATGGTGTTATTGGATCTTATACTTCATTAGATTTTAAAAGTTTGGTGTTATTCAACTAAGATTTAAAATATTTCATTAAAATCCAGTGTTATTCAAAACTAAAAAACTTGTAAAATCTTTGTATAATAAATCATTTGAAATAAAATTCTTTGGAGTTTCATGAGTAAATTGTTAGAATCAAAATCTAAGAAAAAGATTTTGAAATCCACACAAACAGATTCTTAAAAACAATATCATAAAGCTAATCTAATCCTTAAAGAATTGATTTTAACTCCATGATTGAATAACACCCCCTAAAAGACTTGTAAAATCTTTGTATATTATATCATTTGGAATGAAACCTCTTTGGAGTTTCATGAGTAAATTATTAGAATCAAAATCCGAAATATACTGCAGAGATTTTGAAATCCACACAAACAGATTCTTAAAAACAATATCAGAAAGCAAATCTAAACCTTAAAGAATTGATTTTAACTCCATGATTGAATAACACCCCCTAAAATTTTATGAGAGTAAATAAATATTTTTTATGAAGTCCCATATCGACGTGGAATCTTCTTAGCTTCACATATAAGAGATATTTATTTAAAATTTTGTGGTAGTAAATAAATAATTTTTACAAAACTAAAAATGTCCCACATCGAAATTACGAAGAATCAACTAGTGAAGTCATCTCTATAAATATTATTACAACTGTGTTGTTGACATTCATATAAAATTCGATGAATCTAAAGTCGAATCTTTTGAGACCTAGTAAAATTTTGTAAACAAATCAGCTAGTTGGCGGATTGTTGATTCTAAGTGCTTAATTGCTTTAGGCGGCTGATAAACCAGTTCGACAATTAATGCATGATTTAAGTGTCTAATGGTTTAAGGAGGTCGCAGTAGATAAATTTTGACCGCCTAATCGGGTAGGCGGTCGGAATTTAAATTCCAGGTGCGTTTTTCTTCTTCTTCTTTTTATAATTTTGTTTGATTCTTAGTCATCCATGTGTTTTTTTGTTTCATCCATGTATTTTTAGTTCTTCTTCTTCTTTTTTTTTGTTTTTATTGTGTCTTGATTCTTTTTCATCTATGAGGTTTTAGTTATTCTTCTTCTTCTTTTTTAATAGTTGCTTAATCATCCATGTGCTTTTAGGTCTTCTCTTTCACTAGACTACTTGATTGAAATTTGGATTAGGGCTGGTCGTAATTTACATGTGTTTGTATCTCTTAATTAGTTTGATGCAAGCTATGTGTCCGTATCTCTTCGAACTTAGATGATTAGTTCTGAAACTTCCATTTTTAAAATGTAGATTATAGTTGTGTGAAGAAAGAGAAATGGTGGGTAGAAAGAAGAAAACCAAAATATGTGACAACGTCTCAACGTTGGAAGATAGGATAAGCCAGTTACCTGAACATTTGATTTATGAAATACTTTTTCATCTCTCTACCAAGGACGCTGTAAGAACAAGTGTTTTGTCCACCAAATGGAGATATCTTTGGCAACGGGTTCCTGGATTGGACTTAAACCCCTATGCATTCTCAAATTTTTATAAATTTGTGAGTTTTGTTGATAGGTTTATTTATTCAGACAATGAGTCATCGATACGCAAACTCCATTTTTCTATTGGTCATCATCATGGTATGTGTGATATCTCATCATGGATTGATGCTGTGGCTAGGCGTAGGATTCAGCATATCGATCTTAGTTTCGATCTCACTTATCAACCTGATAAGATACCACCCTTGAGGTTATATACCTGTGAGACACTGGTGCACTTACGACTCTATGGAGCCACCTTAGTTAATGCCGAGTTTGTTCCCATACCTTGTCTAAAGATCCTCCTTTTAGATCAAGTTAGATATCCCAATGAGTCCACTTTGGAGAATCTTATCTCAGGCTCACCAGTTCTAGAGGATTTGACCATCAAAAGATATCCAGCATATAATGCAAAGGTTTTACAAGTGCGCTCTAAAACGTTAAAGAGAATCCACATTGATCAATTTGGAGTTGTGATTAATGCTCCTTTACTTGAGTGCTTAAGGACTATGATTTGCAGAACAAAGAACTTTGAGATCATCAATTTGGGATCCTCTACCAAACTAGATATTGATGTTGTCTACCTAAGCCATAGGACATACAATAGTAGCATGATTCATGACCTCATCACCGATATATCCAGAGTGAGGGAGCTAGTAATTAGTAATGGTATTTGGAAGGTATAAATTCAAACGTTTGAGTATATTATATATAAAAGAAAAGTTTTTCCAAGAAAGTTTCTTACCATAACATTTTTATGTGTTTACTTATGTTACCAGGATATCTTTCTATACTCGAAATCGGGACCGGTGCAACAGTTTCGAAACCTATCCAGCTTGAATGCTAGATTTACTAAAACTGATCTTGAATTATTGCCACTCATTCTTGAGAGCTGCCCAAAACTAGGATCTCTCACATTGGTAATGAAATATAGCTCTGATTTACGCTACACATATGTCTGTGAAAGCTTTTTTTCTTTTTTCTGGGAAAGCTTTTTATGTAGCTGTTTACTCAATTTCGTTTCCTCTGTTTTTGCAGGAATTGGTCAAGGAACTATACATGCGTCGTGAGAAGAAGAAAGATCCAAAGGTGGTGTTTTCAGCAGTGCCTCAGTGTTTGGTATCATCGCTAAAGTTTGTGGAACTGAAACGTTCGATCTCGGGGTATGAAGGAGAAAGAGAGCTAATAAGATACTTGCTGAAGAATTCAACAATGCTGAAGAAACTAAGGCTTGATCTTCACTATTCCAAAAGGGCAAAGGGTGACTTCCTTCAAGAACTCGTTGAGATGCCAAGATACTCTACCGGTTGTGAAGTCCTTGTTCTTTAATTACTAAAAGATATTGCTGAATATTTTTAGTCGAATGTTAACCTTTTTTGGTTGTTAAAGTTTTTTTTTTTTGTTGAAGGATATTTGACTTTTGGAGCCATGGAATTGTTTGAGACTTTTTTAGACATGTCAATTTAACCCAGATTTAGCGGGCCATGTTCACTAAGAGTTTGAAAAACCCTAGCCTAACTTCTTAGTCTCTATGTGGTTTATAAAGGTTGCCAAACTACCCCCTTTGGTTGGCTCGTCAAAATATCTAAGGAACGTTGTTTATAAACAAGTTAAGCTATGCTTTACTTATTTGGAAGCTGTTAAGACAAGCGTTTTATCCCCCAGATGGAGTAGTCTCTGGCTTTGGGTTCCTTTGTTTGAAATTGTCATGGCGGCGCCTCCCAAATTTCAATGCCTTTAAGAGTTTTGGTGACAGATTTTTCGATTCCAATAGTGCTTCATGCATATACAATCTCAAGTTATTTCTTGATGAAAATGATGCATCTTATCTCACACTTAGTTGAGCGTAAGATACAACGTCTCTATGTTTGGCAAAGTCAAGGGACTTTTTTCATGAGATGCCCCTAAGCATTTATATCTGTGAGACATTGGTATCTCTAAAACTCTCGATGCTGACCTTGTCTAAAGATCCTGCATTTAATGGATATTGTGTATCCAAATGAGGCCAATTTTGAGAGACTTGTTTCATCCTGCCCTGTCCTTGAAGACTTAAAGATTGACGTGGTATGGACTGATGGAAAGTCTTTCGGGTGCACTCTCGGTCACTGAAGAGGCTCCGTTTACTACGAAGTTCTTCTCTACCGTTTGATTCTGTTCCGGGAGTTGTGATTGATGCTCTTGTATTGTGTTGTTTGAGAATCAATGATCGGGAATCAGAAAGCTTAATAGTAAAATTCTTTGAAGTGAACTTGGATGATGTCGATTTTGTTTCGTTACCTTGTCTGAAGATTTTGCACTTAAAATATAGCTGGTATGGCAATTTTTGAGAGACTTATTATCTCTTGTTGTCCTGTCTAGGAAAAGTTAAAGATTATTTAGAGCATCTCCAACCAAAAAAACTGATGGGAGTTTCTCAATTATATTATTTTATTCATTTAATAATAAATAAATTATTTACTTAAATTTTAAATTATAGAAAAGAAAATCTGGCCAATCATATAAACCCAACTATTAAAATGGGTGTCTCAGAATTTCTCATATGAGAAACATGTCTGGTTCTCTTTCCACCTTTTTCATTACTTTTTACTTTTTTAATTTCTAGACACTCTTTGAGAAACTGCCATTGGAGATGGTCTTAGATGCGTGTATGAGAAAGTAAAAGTCTTTCAGGTGCTCTCTAGGTCATTGAAGAAGCTCTGTATAAAATTACAAGAAGGTGACCAGGATTTTGAATTGATGCTCCTCGACTACACTTTTTAGAGCATCAATGAGAAATTATCAGAGATTTCTATACTAAAGCCTAAGCGATATGGATTCCAATGTAGGAGGTTATATTTAAGTCTTTCCTACGGTTACTTGGTGGTTGCTGCTCATGTAATAACCACCAATTACCAACTCTGTTTCGAATTTTATGGATAGTTGCGCAATATACTCAAGCACTAATTTAAGAATTGTCAATTTGGAGGAAGCTGTTCCAATTTGGAGGAAGCAAATTAAGGCATAAGTTTTATAATGAAGAAGATGAATTCCAAAGGTCACAGGAAATGATCATACATCAAATCGCTTTCAAGGTTTCTATGTCAAAATGCAGAAATGAAGCTAGTAAGACGATAACCTTGGGTTCTTGTCTTCTTGAATTTGTAACTGCATGCATCTTCTTCTTTTTTTTGGTAAAATGTAACAAACATCATTTTCTTTTTCTGTCACCAGTCCATCTTGCAAATGGTATATTCAAATCAGAAAATTTAGCAAAAAAATAAATAAAAGAACTAAAGATGAAAGATATGCTAAAGTGGGTATTTCCGGTTTGGTCCAATGTATATTGGTTCAAACGGAGAGATAAAAACGGCAAGGCGTTTGTAGTAAGAGATAAAACGGCAAGCCGTTTGTGTCAAAGGAGCGGTAAGAAAGAGCTACTGGAACGCCATTAATTAGAGAGTGGTCTAATGCGAGAAATCATCATCTTCGACAAGAGACCGTGAAGGAAGACGAATAGGTTTGATCTGCCAAGGTAGTCAAATTCCATTCTGTTGCGTTCTTCTTCTTCTTCAATTCTTATACTTTTCCTTGATTTCTTCTAGTCATTTTCAGAAACATTGAAAACGCTAAACCTGACAAGCCCTCGTATGTGTTTTGTCCGAACTTTCTACTTATCCAGATTGTTTGAATGCAAGCTACAGTGTGTCCGTATCTTGTATTTCATTCGAAATTTGTTGGTTTGTTTCTGTTTTGAGTGTTCTGGAGTATTGATGTATGGCTTTCATTTGCTTCATTTGAGAATTTTGACTAGGTTGTTTTTGTCGCAGTTCATCTGTCTCCGAGCTTTCTAGGCATATCTGTATTAGTCTGTTAAGAATAAGAAACGTAGTCTCTATTTCTTAACCTCCGATACACTGTTTCATAAGAGATTGAGCCACCGGCGCATCATCGATTCATCAACTCTCTCTCACAAGCACTGTACATTCATCAAACAATGCATAAAGCCTAACAAATGAGAAAACTATTCTTATATAGGAATCATTATTAGCTTTAGTTTCTTCAAGCTTTTTCTCTCACATGTGTGGCTTTCTCTGCTTTCTTGTATACACATTCAGTGGCTTATCATAGTCTGATTCGAAATTAGTTGTTTGTTTCTCTACCCTTCGATTTTTATTTAGTTTTTTCTTTAATTTGATGATGCAGATTAGTTGTCCGAAGAAAAGAGAAATGGTGGGTAGAAAGAAGAAACCCAAAATATGTGACAAAGAAGATAGGATAAGCCAGTTACATGAAGAAGATAGGATAAGCCAGTTACCAGAACCTTTGATATCCGAAATTCTTTGTCATCTTTCTACTAAGGATGCTGTAAGAACAAGCGCTTTGTCTACCAAATGGAGGAATTTTTGGCGATGGGTTCCTGGATTGGACTTAGACCCTTACGCATTCTCAGATTTCGATGCCTATGTGAGTTTTGTTGAAAAGTTTTTTGATTCCCACAGGGAATCATGGATACGCAAACTCCGGTTAAGTTTTGGTTATTTTCGTCATGGTATGTGTGATCTCACGTCATGGATTGATGCTGTGACTAGGCGTAGGATTCAGCATCTTGATGTTAGTTCTTTCCATGGTGGTGAGATACCCCTGAGCATATATACATGTGAGACACTGGTAGACTTACGACTCAGTGAGGTCACCTTGTGTAATACTGAGTTTGTTTCCTTACCTTGTCTGAAGATCATGCATCTACGGCATAATAGATTTCCCAATGAGACCACGTTGCAGAAACTTATCTCAGGCTCTCCAGTTCTGGAAGATTTAACCATCATCAGATATCCAATAGATAATGCAGAGGTTTTACAAGTGCGCTCTCATATGCTGAAGAGAGTCTATATAAATGATGGCATCCAAGTTGTAATTGATGCACCTCTACTCCAGTGTTTGAGGGCTACGGTCTCCTCACCAAAAAACTTTCAGATCGTCAATTTGGGTTCCTCTGCCAAACTAGATATTAGTTTCGCCTATAACGATGTGACATACAGTAGCAGCATGATTCATGACATCCTGACTGATATATTGAGGGTCAGGGAGCTAGTTATTAGGAATGCTATTTTTTGGGAGGTATACATCTCAACTTTTGAGAATATATATATATGAATATTCTTGCGAAAGTTTCTCACCATAACATTCCTTTTTACTTGTTTACTTCTGTTACCAGGAAATTTTTCAATACTCGAAATCGGGACCGATGCATCAGTTTCGTTACCTATCCTGCTTGAATGCTAAATTTTCTGAAACTCATCTGGAAATTTTGCCAACCCTTCTTGAGAGCTGCCCAAAACTAGAATCTCTCATACTGGTAATGAGAGCTGAAACTGATTTATGCATAAGGTTTGTGAAAATCTATCTGTTATGTATATTTCTCTACTCAATTTGTTTTCTTCTGTTTTTGCAGAAATTGGTTAAGGACAGCTGCATGAGTGGTAAGAAGAAGAAAGAACCAAAGTTGATGTTTTCAACAGTGCCTCAATGTTTGGTATCATCGCTCAAGTTTGTGGAATGGACACGTGCGCTCTCAGGGTATGAAGGAGAAATAGAGCTAGTAAGATACTTCTTGAAGAATTCAAAAATCTTGGAGAAATTTAGGCTTGAAGCTTACTATACCGAAAAAGCCAAGTGTGCCTTCCTTCAAGAACTCCTTACGATGCCAAGATGCTCTAGCGTTTGTGAAATCCATGTTTCTTTAATTCCTAGAAATAAATATGGTTGAACATTTCGTTGAAGGTTGATCTTTTTGGTCGTTAAATTAGTTGATATTAGGAGGCTATTTTAGGCTTTGAGCCACAACCAAATATTGCAGTTTAAGTCTTTCTTATGTTACTTGGTGGTTGCTACTTATAATCATTATCAGCTTTATCTTGAATTTGATGGATATCTCCACAAATTGTTCAAGCACTAATTAGGTCTTTTGATGTATATGTTCTTTTGGTAGATGTTGGCTAGTTAAAGAATTGTCATATTGCAGGATATCTCCACAAATTGTTCAAGCACTCATTAGATCAATGCAGTTCCTATAATGAGAGTTACTTAATCTCAAGATATGTCACAGTAATGAAACTAGTTAGGTAACATTCGGAAATTGTCAAGAGACTGCATGCATCTTCTTCATTTTTTCAATAAATATAACATTTGTCTCCATGTAATCGAAACTGTTTGAGAGGCTTGCAAATGGTATATTTATGCTTCTCCTAGTACTAGTAGAAAGAGAATGAGAATCGATGAACAAATGCATGCTTTAATGTGTTAGTGATGATAATCGATGAACAAAGCACTTAGTATCGCGCTTATACCAAAAAAATAAAAAAAAAGCACTTATCTGAACAAAAGTGGGTATTTCCGGTTTGGTTGTTTATTGGTTCAGTATTCAAACGGAGAGACAAAACGGCAAGGCGTTTGTAGTAAGAGATAAAACGGCAAGGCGTTTGTCATAAGAGATAAAACGGTAAGGCGTCTGTAGTCAAATGTACACGAATCCTCTTCCCAAAAGCCACTGTAACGCCACTAATTCACAGTGAAGCATCTTCTTCGACATGAGGCCGTGAAGGAAGACGAATAGGTTTGATCTGCCGAGGTAATTCAACTCCATTCTGGTGCGTCCCTTCTTCTCTCTTCTTCTTATATTTTTCCTTGATGTCTAGTTATCTTCAGAAACCCTAACCTAACAAGCCCTCGCATCTGGTTCATTGTGAGAATTATGACTAGGTTTTGTCGCAATTCATCTGTCTCCGAGCTTTCTACGCATATCTATATTAGTCTGATTCGAAATTAGTTGGTTGTCTCTGTAAACTTCAATTTTTACTTGTTTTTTTTTTTTCTTAAATTTGATGATGCAGATTGGTTGTGTTAAGATAGAGAAATAATGGGTCGAAAGAAGAAACCCAAAATATGTGACGAAAAAGGCTCAGATGAGGAAGATAGGTTAAGCCAGTTACCGGAACATTTGATATCTGAAATACTTTATCATCTTTCTACCAAGGACGCTGTAAGAACAAGTGTTTTGTCCACCAAATGGAGATACCTTTGGCAATCGGTTCCTGGACTGGACTTGGAACCCATCGAATTCTCAAATTTCGATGCCTTTGTGAGTTTTGTTGAAAGGTTTTTAGATTCCCACAGGGAGTCATGGATACGCAAACTCTGGTTAGATTTTGGTGATCATGATGGTAGACTTGATCTCTCGTCATGGATTGATGCTGTGACTACGAGTAGGATGCAGCATCTTGATGTTAGTTATTTTTGCGGTGATGAGATACCCCTGAGTTTATATACCTGTGAGACACTGGTACACTTACGACTCTGTGAGGTCACCTTGTCTAATGCTGACTTTGTTTCCTTGCCTTGTCTCAAGATCATGCATTTACTACATAATAGATACCCCAACGAGGCCACGTTGCAGAAACTTGTTTCAGGCTCTCCAGTTCTGGAAGATTTAACCATCATAAGATCTTCGGATGATGACGAGGCAAATGTTTTACAAGTGCGCTCTCATACGCTAAAGAGAATCGAAATATGTGAGGACACCCAAGTTGTAATTGATGCACCTCTACTCCAGTGTTTGACGGCTACGGTCTCCTCAACAAAGAATTTTCAGATCGTCAATTTGGGTTTCTCTGCCAAACTATATATTGTTTTCCCCTATTGCCATATGACATACAGTAGCATGATTCCTGACATCCTCACCGATATATCGAGGGTCAGGGAGCTAGTTATTAGGAATGCTATTTTTTGGAAGGTATACTTCGCAACGTTTGAGCATATATATATATTCGACAAAAGTTTCTCACCATTACATTCCTTTTTACTTGTTTACTTCTGTCTCCAGGAAATCTTTCAATACTCGAAATCGCGACCAGTGCTTCAGTTTCGTGACCTATCCCGCTTGAATGTTAAATTTTCTAAATCTAATCTTGAAATGTTGCCAACCCTTCTTGAGAGCTGCCCAAAACTAGAATCTTTCATATTGGTAATGAATAACTTTAACCATTTGATTGATGAAGATTTGTTGTGTAAATTTCTCTAATCAATATGTTCTCTTCTATATTTGTTTTCTTCTGTTTTTGCAGGAATTGGTTACGGACCAATTCATGCGTGGTAAAAAGAAGAAAGAACCAATGGTGATGTTTTCAACAGTGCCTCAGTGTTTGGTGTTATCGCTCAAGTTTGTGGAGTTGAAACGTTCGATCTCAGCGTATGAAGGAGAAACAGAGCTAATAAGATACTTGCTGAAGAATTCGATAATGCTGGAGAAATTAAGGCTCAATATTTACTATTCAAAAAAGGCGATGAGTGACTTCCTTAAAGAACTCGTTGCAATGCCAAGATGCTCTAGCGCTTGTGAAGTCCTTGTTCTTTGATTACTTTGCTGAACATTTCGTTTAAGGTTAAATCTTTTGGTCGTTAAATTAGTTGATTTTAGGAGGCTATATTAGGCTTTGAGCCACAAGCAAATATTGAAGTTTTAAGTCTTTCTTATGCTACTCATGTAATAACCACCAATGACCAACTTTATTTCGAATTTGATGGATACTTCCACAACTTGCTCTAGCAGACTAGCACAGTAGCAGTAATTAGGTCTCTCTCTCTCTCTATATATATATATATATATATATATATATATATATATATATATATGTTATTTTGCTGTTGGCTTGTTTATGAATTGTCAATTAGCAAGAAGCTGCTCGAAGTTGGATTCTACTGCCAAATTAGATATAAAAAAAAAACTCAGTACTCTAGATTTGTGAATTTGTAATCGTAACATCAAGACTTGTAAAATGTTTGAGAGTCTTGGAAAAGGTATGTTTGTTTATGCATCTCCTAGTAGGCTAGTACGATGAGTATTCATATAGTAGTACTAGTACGTCTAAAAATGTCGACAAACAAAAACTCTTTACATTTAATGGGCCATGTTGGATTATTGGGCTTTTGCTTAACTACAGTCTTTGAGAGAAATGTTCAGTAGAGAGTAGAGAGAGTACCGGCAAGTGATTCCAAATTTCCAAGCAAGTGTTTCCGTTCCCGTCGGCGAAATTACTGTCTACAGTTCCGGCGTGTGATTGCATTCCGCCGGCTAAAACACTGTATGTTAATCTTCTTCTTCTTACTTTACTTTTTTTTTTTATATACTAAATTTCATAAGAATTTGAAAACCCTAACCCTGACTAAGCGCTTCTCTCAATGCAATTTCATCAAAATTATTTCTCTGCAACTTGCATTTTCATTTTTCTGTTTGCAGATTTTGTTGTCCTGAAAATTTTTCTACAGAAGAAAAGACAATGGTTGATAGAGGGAAATCGAAACAGGCTTGTTCCTTCAAAGGGTTTAGTGAGAGATTGAAGGAAGATAGGATAAGCCAATTACCAGATCCTTTGATCTGTCAGATTCTTTCTCATCTTCCCACAAAGGACAGTGTTAAGACAAGCGTTTTATCCACCAGATGGACAAGCCTCTGGCTTTGGGTTCCTTGTTTGGAATTGGCACATTGGGACTTCCCAGATTCCAATGCCTTTAGGAGTTTTGGCGACATGTTTTTCGATTCCACTAGGGCTTCATTCATAAACAAAGTCAAATTAACTATTGATGAAACTATGTTTAAGGAAGATGTAGATGATGAATTGATCCCTCTTATCTCATGTCATGGACTGATGCTGCAGTTAAGCGTAAGATCCAGCATCTAAATCTTTGTTGTTCTCCCGGTAATTCAAATGAAATGTCCATAAGGCTTTATACCTGTGAGACACTAGTATCTTTAAAACTCTATGAGGTGATCTTGGATGATGTCGAGTTTGTTTCCTTACCTTGCCTGAAGACTCTGCATTTGAAATATATCTATTATCGCGAAGAGGCCAGTTTTGAGAGGCTTGTATCTTGCTGTCCCATCTTGGAAAAGTTAAAGATTGTCGTATCCGAGTATGGGAATTAAATCTCTTTCGGGTGCTCTCTAGGTCATTGAAGAAGCTCTGTATACAGATAATAAATGATGAAGAGGATTTTGGTTTCAGATTTGTGATTGATGCTCCTCGAATACGCTTTTTGAGCATCAGTGATAAAATAGAGAGTTATCTATTGGACGATGTTGATTGTTCCAAGGCGAAGGTAGATATCTCTCTCCCCTTTGGTTTGGACGATGTTAATGAAGCAAACATTTCATTGAGGAGTAGTAGTAGTATCCACAGTTTTCTCCCTGGGATTTCCAAGGTCAGAGATTTGACCATATGTCAAGACGTTTTCAAGGTATATATATGATAATTCTGGTATTGGACATATACATTTTCTATTATAAAAGTTTTTGACCCACAATACTTTTGTTTTATGGTTGCAGCTCATATGTGAATACTTGAAAAAAGAACCGCTGCCACAATTTGGTTACATGTCCCGCCTGCGTGTTACTCTTCATGTATCTGATTTAAATATGTTACCAACCTTTCTTGAGAGCTGCCCAAACTTGAAATCCCTCATCTTGGTGATGATCTGCTTAATCCTATTTCTCATCTCTGTGAAAGATGTTGTCTATCTTTTCATTATTTTCTCTCCTCTCATTTTTCTTCAGGTATGGAATAGTAACTCTAAGAAGATGTATCACGAAGAGCTGCGCCAATTCAACTTTTCCGCTGTTCCAGAGTGTTTGTTATCATCGCTTGAGTTTGTTGATTTTAAAACTGGCATCTCGGGACATCATGGAGAACAGAAGCTAGTAATGTACTTCCTAGCGAATTCGACAATCCTCAAGAAGCTAACTCTACGTTTGAATTATTACTGTACAAATGAAAAGCTCTTCGTCAAGGACGTCCTGAAATTCCCAAGACGCTCTACCACATGTCAAGTCGTCATATATTGATCATGTTAAGACTAGAGAGAGAAAATCTGCAGCTTAAGCTCTTACCGCACAAGAAATGCAGGTGTAGTCTTTTGTTTAGAATCGGCCAGTGTTGTTTTGGGTAGCGGACTATTAAGTCACTCGCCCGTCTCTAGATACTATATTACTCTCTTCGTTTTCGAATAGTTGTCGTTTTAGAGAAATTTTTTTGTTTTTAATTAGTTGTCGTTTTCAGTTTTCGATGCAAAATTTATTACTTTTTCATTTTTTATATTTATTTTTATTATGCAACTTGATTTACTATTGGTTAAATTATGTTTAGGTAAATAATTAATGATATTTTTATATTGAAAAACTAACAACATTAATAGTTTCTTAATTTTTGTGCATATAGTTAAAACGACAACTATTCGAAAACGGAGTGAGTACTATTAATTAAGGTTGCTAATCTGGCCTCTTTTGGCTCTCAAAATATCTAAGGAAGGTTGTTTATAAACAAGTTAAGCAATGCTGTTACTTACTCTGTATGTTCTTTTGTGTTTGCTGCCTTATTTTGTTTGATTGTTTATTTTAAACATCAAATTTCTTTAATAGGAATTGAAATATAACCAGTCATCATGTAAAAGTAGGAAAATACAAGCAGGGTTCACAGGTAAACTTCATAAGAAAACCTACCCCGAAGGTAGCTCTCTGTTTTCATGGCCATAGCTTCAGCGTCTAAATCTGAAAGTGTGCGGTCTTGGTTACAGAGACTGCAGATTTGATACTTCCTGAAGAATTCACCAATCCTGGAGAAAAACAAAAAATGCATTGAAATGTATAGAGATGTCAATTATGTTAACCCAGATTTAGTGGGCTATGTTTGATTGTTGGGCTTTTGTGTAACAAACAAACACTCATTCTATTACCCAATTTGGACATAACTACTCTTATAGAGAAGTCTGCAGTGGTAGGTCCGTGCTTCCCAATTTCCAGATTCCCGTCGGCGAAAATCACGACGTAAAGTTCCGGCAAGTGATTGCATTTCGGCCTAAACGCTGTAGGTTCTTCTTCTTTTATATTGGATGTAGCATAAGGGACACTATGTTCTTCTTCTTCTTCTTTACTCTTTTTGTCTTTCTATTATCAGTTTCATTAGACCTTGAAAAACCCTAGCCTGAATCAATGTGGTTTAGTTTTTCTCTCTCACACTCTTCTTCTTTATTCGTCACTGGAAGTTGTACTGAAGGATTAGTGTTAGTTGCAATTTATGTCTGAAATTTTTATCATTTCTTATAGATTTCTTTGTCTGAAAACAGAAAAATTGATGGCTTGTTCCAAAGGGTTGAATCAGAGGTTGAAGGAAGATAGGATAAGCCAGTTACCTGATCCTTTGATTTGTCACATTCTTTCTCATCTTCCCTCAAAGGAAACTGTGAAGACAAGCGTTTTATCCACCAGATGGAGAAGTCTCTGGCTTTGTGTTCCTAGTTTTGATTTGGCATGTTGGCACCTCCCAAAGTTCAATGACTTTAAGAGTTTTGGTGACAAGTTTTTCGATTCCAATAGGGTTTCATGCATACTAGAAGTTAAGTTATTTATTGGTGATACTGGATTAAGGAAAGGTGTAGATGATGTTCCCTCTTATCTCACGCCATGGTTTGATGCTGCCATAAACCGTAAGATCCAACATCTAGATGCTTGGTTTCCTCCCTGTTCTTTTAAGATGCCCCTAAGGCTTTATACCTGTAAGACACTGGTCTCCTTGAAACTCTTTCATGTAACCTTGGATGGTGTCGAGTTTGTTTCCTTACCTTGTCTGAAGACTCTGCATTTGAAATATATGTTGTATGGCAAAGAGGCCAATTTTGAGAGACTTGTCACTTGCTGCCCTGTCTTGGAAGAGTTAAAGATTTCCGGGTGTGTGAATGATAATGCAAAAGTCTTTCGAGTGCTCTCTAGGTCATTAAAGAAGCTTACAATAAAAACACGCAAAGATGATCAGGGTTTTGGTTCGGGGTTTGTGATTGATGCTCCTCGACTATGCTTTTTGAGAATCAATGATAAATTATCAGAGGGTTTTATAATAAACGATGTGGATTCCAATGCCAAGGTAGATATCTCTCTCTCTTTTGGTTTGGATGTTATTGATGAAGCAAGCATTTCATCGAGGAGAAGTACCATCCGCAGTTTTCTACACGGGATTTCCAAGGTCAGGGACATGACTTTATGTAGAGACACTTTCAAGGTATATATGACCATTCCGGTTTTATATGACATTTACATTTTCTATCATGAAAGCTTCTAAGCTACATTATTTTTATTTTTGGTTCCAGCTTATCTGTCAATACTCGAAAATAGAACCGTTGCCTCAGTTTGGTAACATGTCCACCCTGCGTGTTACTTTTCGTGTATCTGATATGAAATGGTTACCAACCTTTCTTGGGAGCTTCTCAAACTTGAAATCCCTTATCTTGGTGAGGATCTGCCTAACCCTATTTCTCATATCTGTGGAAGGTTTTGCCTATCTTTTCATTACCTTCTCTCCTCTCTTTGTCTTCTTCAGGTATGGAATACTAACTCTAAGAAGATGTATTTCAAAGAGCTGCGTAAATTCAATTATTCCACTGTGTCAGAGTGTCTGTTGTCGTCGCTTGAGTTTGTTGATATCAAAACAGGCATCTCAGGACATGCTGCAGAACTTCAGCTAGTAATGTTCTTACTAATGAATTCAACAATCCTCAAGAAACTGACTGTACGTTTGAATTACTATTGTACAGATGAAAAGCACATCATAAAGACTCTCCTGGACCTCCCAAGACGCTCTACCAAATGCAAAGTCGTCATATATTGATATGTAAAAGGCTAGAGAGAGAACATGTGAAGCTTAAGTTCTTACCTCACAAGAAATGCAGGTGTAGTCTTTTGTTTATGTTTCTTTTGGAGTAGAGATACGGATGAAAATTGTTAGCCATGTTTGCAAGAAACTATTAGAGACTATTAAGGTTGCTAATCTACCCTCTTTTGGCTGGTTAAAATATCTAAGTAATGTTGTTTATAAACAAGTTAAGCAATGAAGTTAGTTTGATTTTTTGAGTAATGAGTGGTATCAGTGCTTGCAGCGGCTTCGGCTGGGAATCCAATTCCATAGAACTGACAAGAGATATTATTTGAGTAGTGAGTGACATAAGCTGCGAATATCCTAAGGATTGTTGGCTTATTATTCCGGCAAGGTTGGATCTTGTCTCTTTGCTTGAGAAAATCTCTGTTTTTATATGGATTTTACACGAACTTAGTTCTTCTTGCGCCATTGGTTTGTAAGCTTCAAATTTTAAGTTGTAGAGTTGAAGTGTTACTGCTAGAAGCTTTTATCGAGCCCTAAAACACAATCTTTGCTGTTTTTGATGTAGATTTAGTTGATTCTATGTTGATTCACACTGGAGAAACAGAGTTTGTGTCTACTTGATTATGATATGTGATTGTTGCGTTCTTGAGGTTGATCTACTGTCCATTAATGTTTGGTTCTTGAACTTTGAGTTTAGGTGTATGATCTGACTCCATTCATAGATGATCATCCTGGAGGCTAACAAAATACGTTAAGTGAGATATTGTTTGAGTAGTGGGTGACATAAGCTCTGACTTGGGATTCGGCTGTGAATCCAAATCCATTAAGATGAGTGATATATAAACTTCGAAACAGAATCCCAACCCGAATCCGGAATACGAACAGGCATTGTCGTTTTGAGAGATTATTTGGAGTTATGAGGGATACGGATGAGTGATTTGAGCTTCAACTCCAGGTCCGTCTCCGCCACGAATCCATCCATAGAAAGAATATAGGAGCAAAGATGGCAATGAAATTTTGCAAGTATAATTCTGATCTTCTTAGTCCTCTTAGCTAATAACACATTTCATTACGGCCCATATAGAAAACAATTTTAACCCATATTGAGTTGGAATGTTGGGCTTTTGTGTTATAAACACATTATATATACCGCAGAACATAACTACTGACTCGAGGCTTCATAGAGTTCGGCAAGTGATTTAAAATTTCTAGCAAGTGATTCCATTCCGATAGGTGAGATCACGATCTACAGTTCCGGTAAGTGATTTCATCCTGTTTGGCTGAAACACTGTAGGTTCTTCTTCTTCTTACTTTACCTTTTTCTTGGGTGAAAAGTCATCTTCATAACACCTTGAAACCCTAACCCTAATTTGTCTCAATGTGGTTTGTTGTCTCTCTATCACTGTAATTACTTTTTTCATATAACATGATGAGTCTTCTTCGTCATGTTGCGAATGTTGATGTTAATTTATGGATTTTGAATTATTTCTTTTCACTGGAACTTGAACCGAAAGTGTTGGTTGCAAGCATATGTGTGCCCTATTAACTTGGCATCTGGAACTTTAAGTTTTCATTTTTGAATATTTTATACAGAAGAATTTGTTGGACTTATTTTCACTAAAGCCAAATAGGCTTAGTAAAATAAGAAATGGTGAAGAGAAATGGTGGGGTGGGCAAAGCCTAGTATCACTAATGGTGGTAGGGTGGGCAAAGCCTAAAACCATGGAATGGTGGAGTTTTAATCACTCACTCCCACTAATGATTTGATTAGAATTTGTTGTGGAATTGGTTGAAGGCAACAAAATTCATTCTTCTATAAATGTTGTTTTGTTGTGTTGAAAACAGAGAAAAAAACAAACATACGTTTATACACAAAGAGAGCAACAAACATACGTTTATACACAAAGAATCAAATCAAAAATTCCATCAAATCTCCAAGTTTTGAGAGTAAGTTTTGAGAGTATCGTAGAGTTGTTGTTCGTGTAGAATCGAGTTTCGAGTGCTTGCGAAATCGATTAGTGTGGTTGTATCTTGGGACTCTTGAATCTTAGATTCCCGTCGCACTATGGGTGATTCAAAGAGTTAAGGAAAGAGTTTTATAACTCGCCTCCACTTGTTATTTTCTGGGTTTATGATTTCGTAAATTTCAATCATCTTTCGTAGTGTTGCAATTTTTGCTCCTACAGAATTAAGTATTAACACATGGCTTGTAGAGGGAAATCGAAACAGGCTCGTGTCAACGAGTTGAGTAGTAGGTTGAAGGAAGATCGAATAAGCCAGTTACCTGATCACTTGATATTACATCACATACTTGATCATCTTCCCATAAAGGACATTATTACGACAACCGTTTTATCGACCAGATGGAGAAGTCTCTGGCTTTCGGTTCCTTGTGTGGATCTGAATTCCAAAAATCGCCAGATTTTAATGCCTTTGCAAGTTTTGGTGACATGTTTTCTAATTCAGGTCGGGTTTCAAAGATCAGGATGATCATATGTCAAGACACTTTCAAGGTATGTGTTTGTCAATGCAGGGTATTGCTTCACATGCATGTGTGTTTTTCTTTAATGAAAATCTCTTAGCCACAATACTTTAAGTTGGTTTCAGGTCATTCATCACTATTCCAAAGTAAAACCACTGCCTCAATATAATTACATGTCTCGCCTACAAGTTACACTCTGCGTATCCGATTTAGATTGGTTGCAACCTTTTCTTGAGCACTGCCCGAATCTAAAATCCCTCGTATTGGTGATGATTATTCATATCTCTAAAAAGATTCTGCATATTTTATCGTTATATGTTTATCCTCTCTTTTTTTTCCCTCAGGTATTTGATAATTGTAAGATGATTCATATTAAGGAGATGAATATAATCAAATCAGTTTATCAGCTGTGCCTCACTGTTTCTTGTCGTCGCTGGAGTTTGTTGATATCAAAAACAATATCAGGAGATATATGCTTCAGAAATAGTTGAGAAGCTAGTAAGTTACTTTATGGAGAGTTCAGCAATTAAGAAACTGACTCTAAGTTCGCAATGGAATGTTTATATAGATAAGTCTTCATCAAGATGTTCCTGAACATCCCATGACGCCCCGTCGATTGTGAAGTCTTTGGACTGGTTTAGTCAGCTGATATCTTGCTGCACAAGAAATGTAGGTGTTTCTTTGGAGTGAAATAGAGATTAAACTGTTTTAGGTACTTTTGCAAGAAATCATGATGTCTTTTATGCAGTGAAGTTTATAATTTGTCTTTCTTATAAAGAACTTGAAGAAGTTTATTTCTTAAACATGTATGTGTATATAAATCCCTACAAAAAAAAAAAGTATGTGTATATAAATGAGTTTTTGACTTTGTTATGTATATCATCAGGGCCGCCCATGGCTAAAGCCCATGAAGCAAAGGCTTTAGACAGCAATAATTATAACTAGTTTTAGGGGCATCAATTTTTGAAAATGTTACTGTGGTCTAGTGGTCTGTCTGAACAATATTTTGTTACTGTGGTCTAGTGGTATGTCCACGTCATAGTTTCAATCCCCATAAATGCTAAAACTTGTATTTTTTGCTTTTTTGACAGATTTTGTTAATGGGCTAAACTTTTTTTGTTTTAAGCATCCAGAGAGTTTGGGCCGGCCCGGTATATCATCAACTAATTGACCTATCGGACATGCTAATTTAAAACGTTAATAACAAAGAAGGTTTATTCAACAACTTTTTTGGCCGGTTGCACTTGAAATTGTGTGACAAAGGAGTGGAAAAGGCGATCGAAATCAAGGGCCATTAATTCATTCACAGTGGTAAAGGCACTTGGATCGATGCGTCCATTCCCGGTGCTTATTAAACTCCATTCCGATGCGTCCTTTCTTCTTCTTCTTCTAATAGTGTTCCTTTCGATACAGTTCCGGCAAGTGATTCATCCTGTTCAGCAAAAACACTGTAGGTTCTTCTTTTTCTTACTTCATCCTCTTTTTTTTTTTTTATTCAGTCAGAAGACTTTGAAAACCCTAGCCTGACTTAATGTCAATGTAGTTTTGTTTTTATATCACACTATTCCACTGACGGAGAGTTTTATTACCAAATCAGTCTCTCATGCCACCATATACATGTCTTCAGCACTTATCTATGATAATCTTTTTTTTTTTGTTGTTCATCTGTGAGCTAGGTTTTTTTTTTGTTTGATTAAATGTTGGTCGTAAACTCTGTTTTTGTAATTCCAAATCGCTTTCAATTTTGGTATGCAGGTTGGTAGAGGGAAATCGAATCAGGCTTGTTCAGTTGTTCCAAAAGGATTTAGTGTGAGGGATTGATGGAAGATAAGATAAGCCAATTACCAGATCCTTTGATATGTCAGATTCTTTCTCATCTTCCCACAAAGGAGAGTGTTAAGACCAGGGCCGGCCCAAACTATTTGAGTGCCTAAAGCAAAAAAAAATTTGGCCCATTAGCAAAAGCTGTTATAAAAAAAAAATACAAGTTTTAACATGTATGAGATTCGAAACCATGATCTGTACAACAAAAGACTTCAATCTAACCACTAGACCACAGTAACATTTTAAAAATTGATGCCCCTAAAACTACTTATAATTATTTGATGCCTAAAGCCCTTGCTTCATGGGCTTTACCCATGGGCCGGCCCTGGTTAAGACAAGCGTTTTATCCACCAGATGGACAAGTCTCTGGCTTTGGGTTCCTCGTTTGGATTTGGTTTCCCGAGATTTCTCTGATTTCAATGCCTTCAAGAGTTTTGGTGACACGTTTTTCGATTCTGATAGGGTTTCATCCATAAACAAACTGGAGGTAACTATTTCTGTTTTTGAAAATGGTGATGGTGTTGATGATACACCTTGTATCACGTCATGGATTGATAATGCAGTTAAGCGTAAGGTCCAACATCTACATGTTCCTTTACCTCCACTTCATTTTAATGAGATGCCCATAAGCCTTTATATCTGTGAGACACTGGTATCCTTAAAACTTTATCTGGTGGCCTTGCCTGATGCCGAGTTCTTTTCCTTACCTTGTCTGAAGATCATGCGTTTAAACTGTATTAGATATCCATATGAGGCCACCTTTGAGAGACTTGTCTCATCCTCCCCTGTCCTTGAAGAGTTAGAGATTATACATGTTATTTTTGAGGCAACTGTCTTTCGGGTGCTCTCTAAGTCATTGAAGAGACTCACTATAAGTCTACAGATATATGTGTGTGAGTCTGGTACAGGAATTCTGATTGATGCCCCTCGACTACATTTTTTGGGCATCTATGATAACTTAGTAGAAAGCTTTATAATAACCAATATGGATCCCAATGTCAAGTTAGATCTTGATCTCAGCCCTGTTTTGTTTGTAATGGAAGCATATATTTTATCCACGAGAAATAGTTTTCTCACACTGCTTTCAAAGATCAGGTATATGTTCATACATATCCACACTTTCAAGGTATCTATGTCAATTCCGGTATTGGACATGTACATTTTCTATGATGATTGTTTCTGATACATATCATTTTATTTTCTTGTTCCAGCTCCTCTGTCAATGCTTGAAACTAGAACCGTTGCCTCAGTTTGGTTACATGTCCCGCCTACTAGTAGATCTCTATTATTCCCATTCGAAATGGTTACCAACCTTTCTTGAATGCTTCCCAAACTTGAAATCTCTCATCTTGTTGATGATCTTCTAAACCCAATAAGTTATTTCATCTCTATGAAGATTCTATGTACCTTTTCTCATTGTATTTTAATATTCCGTTCTATCCTCAGGTATGCTATGATGGTGACTATGGGGAAATGTTCTCAAAAGAGATGATGAATCAGTCCAGTTTTTCACATGTGCCTCAGTGTTTGCTATCGTCTCTCGAGTTGGTTGATTGCAAAGTGCGACGGGGACTTGCTGCAGATATGGAGCTAGTTAGGTACTTCCTCGAAAATTCGGCTATCCTCAAGAAACTCACTATACGTTTTGATTGTAATGCAATTCATAATCAAGATGACTTTGTCAAGAAACTCTTCAAAATCCTAAGAAGGTCTACCGAATGTAAAGTCGTCTTCCTTTGATTGTGAGGTCTTCTTATGAAAAGACAAACTGAATTTGCGTCCTAGTTTCATTGTTGATTTTGCTTCTTGTATCTTATTTTTTATTTGCTACTTGCATGGTTTCTGAATTTCAATGACATCTCATTTGGTTCTTCTATCAGCTCAAATTTGAAATCTCTTACTATGAGCTACTAAAACTTAACTTTTGATGAAGAATTTTAATTGAAAATGAGATTAAACTTGATTTTGTGCTGCTTACCGTTGAGTGAAAACGAATTTAATCCCAACCCAATATAAAGCCGGATCGATTTATACTAAATTTTATGGATAGATAGTCACGTGTACTTATTTAACCAAAAAGACCAGGATTAGACCAGATTTAACAATATGAATAAAATTGGGATTTCCGGTTTAGTCCAACCGGAGAGTTGGTTGTTTATTGGTTCTTTCTTTGTGAAGGTTGCCTACGTACCATTGCCATTGACAGCAAACTCGTCTCCAATACTTCTTACGAAATTAAAAATGTTTGAAATTGACATTGAGGATAATGTTTTTATTAAACGTATATATATATATATATATATATATCCAAAAGCTATGATGGTGTTATTCAATGATGGATTTTAATAGAATTGAAATCCAACACTAATCTAGTGTTATTCAACTAATGATTCTAAATCTAACTAAAAATGTCCCACATCGAAATTACGAAGAATCAACTAGTGAAGTCATCTCTATAAATACTATTACAAACTGTGTTGTGGACATTCATATAAAATTCGATGAATCTAAAGTCGAATCTTTTGAGACCTAGTAAAATTTTGTAAACAAATCAGCTAGTTGGCGGATTGTTGATTCTAAGTGCTTAATTGCTTTAGGCGGCTGATAAACCAGTTCGACAATTAATGCATGATTTAAGTGTCTAATGGTTTAAGGAGGTCGCAGTAGATAAATTTTGACCGCCTAATCGGGTAGGCGGTCGGAATTTAAATTCCAGGTGCGTTTTTCTTCTTCTTCTTTTTATAATTTTGTTTGATTCTTAGTCATCCATGTGTTTTTTTGTTTCATCCATGTATTTTTAGTTCTTCTTCTTCTTTTTTTTTGTTTTTATTGTGTCTTGATTCTTTTTCATCTATGAGGTTTTAGTTATTCTTCTTCTTCTTTTTTAATAGTTGCTTAATCATCCATGTGCTTTTAGGTCTTCTCTTTCACTAGACTACTTGATTGAAATTTGGATTAGGGCTGGTCGTAATTTACATGTGTTTGTATCTCTTAATTAGTTTGATGCAAGCTATGTGTCCGTATCTCTTCGAACTTAGATGATTAGTTCTGAAACTTCCATTTTTAAAATGTAGATTATAGTGGTGTGAAGAAAGAGAAATGGTGGGTAGAAAGAAGAAAACCAAAATATGTGACAACGTCTCAACGTTGGAAGATAGGATAAGCCAGTTACCTGAACATTTGATTTATGAAATACTTTTTCATCTCTCTACCAAGGACGCTGTAAGAACAAGTGTTTTGTCCACCAAATGGAGATATCTTTGGCAACGGGTTCCTGGATTGGACTTAAACCCCTATGCATTCTCAAATTTTTATAAATTTGTGAGTTTTGTTGATAGGTTTATTTATTCAGACAATGAGTCATCGATACGCAAACTCCATTTTTCTATTGGTCATCATCATGGTATGTGTGATATCTCATCATGGATTGATGCTGTGGCTAGGCGTAGGATTCAGCATATCGATCTTAGTTTCGATCTCACTTATCAACCTGATAAGATACCACCCTTGAGGTTATATACCTGTGAGACACTGGTGCACTTACGACTCTATGGAGCCACCTTAGTTAATGCCGAGTTTGTTCCCATACCTTGTCTAAAGATCCTCCTTTTAGATCAAGTTAGATATCCCAATGAGTCCACTTTGGAGAATCTTATCTCAGGCTCACCAGTTCTAGAGGATTTGACCATCAAAAGATATCCAGCATATAATGCAAAGGTTTTACAAGTGCGCTCTAAAACGTTAAAGAGAATCCACATTGATCAATTTGGAGTTGTGATTAATGCTCCTTTACTTGAGTGCTTAAGGACTATGATTTGCAGAACAAAGAACTTTGAGATCATCAATTTGGGATCCTCTACCAAACTAGATATTGATGTTGTCTACCTAAGCCATAGGACATACAATAGTAGCATGATTCATGACCTCATCACCGATATATCCAGAGTGAGGGAGCTAGTAATTAGTAATGGTATTTGGAAGGTATAAATTCAAACGTTTGAGTATATTATATATAAAAGAAAAGTTTTTCCAAGAAAGTTTCTTACCATAACATTTTTATGTGTTTACTTATGTTACCAGGATATCTTTCTATACTCGAAATCGGGACCGGTGCAACAGTTTCGAAACCTATCCAGCTTGAATGCTAGATTTACTAAAACTGATCTTGAATTATTGCCACTCATTCTTGAGAGCTGCCCAAAACTAGGATCTCTCACATTGGTAATGAAATATAGCTCTGATTTACGCTACACATATGTCTGTGAAAGCTTTTTTTCTTTTTTCTGGGAAAGCTTTTTATGTAGCTGTTTACTCAATTTCGTTTCCTCTGTTTTTGCAGGAATTGGTCAAGGAACTATACATGCGTCGTGAGAAGAAGAAAGATCCAAAGGTGGTGTTTTCAGCAGTGCCTCAGTGTTTGGTATCATCGCTAAAGTTTGTGGAACTGAAACGTTCGATCTCGGGGTATGAAGGAGAAAGAGAGCTAATAAGATACTTGCTGAAGAATTCAACAATGCTGAAGAAACTAAGGCTTGATCTTCACTATTCCAAAAGGGCAAAGGGTGACTTCCTTCAAGAACTCGTTGAGATGCCAAGATACTCTACCGGTTGTGAAGTCCTTGTTCTTTAATTACTAAAAGATATTGCTGAATATTTTTAGTTGAATGTTAACCTTTTGGTTTGTACTTGTTTATTTTGGAGGATATTTGGCTTTTGAGCCATGGAATTGTTTGAGACTTTTTTTAGACATGTCAATTTAACCCAGATTTAGCGGTTAAATTAAGAATGTTAAGACTTTTTTAAGAATGTTAAGACTTTTTTAAATTAAGAATGTTAAGACTTTTTTAAGAATGTTCACTAAGAGTTTGAAAAACCCTAGCCTAACTTCGAAGTTGTTAACTAGAATTCTTAGTCTCTATGTGGTTTATAAAGGTTGTTAGAACTATCCCCTTTGGTTGGCTCGTCAAAATATCTAAGGAACGTTGTTTATAAACAAGTTAAGCAATGCTTTACTTATTTGGAAGCTGTTCCCATGGCTAAGTCTTCTTCTGCTTTGGATTGGTTCACAACTTCACATTCCTTCTATCTTGTTGTCCATTTATTTTGCTTCTTACTCTCTGAATTTCCATGGCAGCTTATGATTTTAAATGTTAGAGAAATCTCAGACAATCTCCAATGGTAGAGTCCCATGAGTGACTCTTACAAATTTTTTAATTTTAAATTTTGACATATGGGGCTCTTAACAATCCTTAAACCTCATATATTAGAGCCAACTCTTAACAATTCTTAACTTTATTTGTTGATTTTATTTATTTTGATTACTTTTAAATTTTAATTGTAAGGATTCTCTTAAGAAACCCATAATAAGAATCCTTAGCCACATTAATAAAAACGAAACATCATAATGTAAAACTCTAATAACATAGAAAAGGTTTGTTTATCTACTATAAAAATGACTAGTATCGTCAAAACCCAAAATACTACTCATTTTGAAGAAAAGAAAAGTGTTTATTATTTTTATTTTATTATGTAACACATACTAAAATTTTTAAAAATATGAAACTACACAAACAGTAAAAAATTAATATTTTTTATGATTACCAATCAAAAATCCAAGATAATAAAATCTAGCTCCTTAAGTAACTATTTCTTTTGGCAAAACGGATTGACACATCCTATATTGCTATCGTCGCTAGAGTTTATTAATTACGATATCCCATTCTCAGGATATGTTGCAGAAATGAAGCTAGTAAAGTATTTCCTAGAGAATTCAGCAATCCTCAAGAAATTTACTCTACGTTTTTATTATTGTCCAAGAAAAGATGATATCTTGAAGGAACTCCTCAAAATCCCACGCTCTAGCACATGTCAAGTCGTCGTACTATGATTGGTAAAAAGATTTGTCTTTTATTAATCAGTTTGATGTAGGAAGTTCTTGCTACCAAGGAAATGCATGTGTAGGTTTTTCGTATGTTTGGTTCCTTAAAGTAAAAACTATTTTTAGGTACTTTTGTAAAGAAATCATGTTGTTTTTTATGCAATCAAGTTTATTACTCTTTGCTTATGTTCTTAATTCTCTTGAGGAGGTTTTTACTCTTTTCTTCTCTTCCTTAAACCGGTATAACAATAAGTACTACTAAGTAGTATAAATAAGATATTGAGTATGCAAGTATTCTTTTTATTATTATTATTTTTTTTTTTTGGACAAACAGTATTCTTAAACCAACATTCTATAGCAAAACCGTTGCTTCATTTTTTCATCCACTATCTTTTGTTTGGTTCCAGGTCCTCTTCCGATACTCAAAGTAGAACCGCTGCCGATATTTAGTTGCATATCCCGTCTGAGTGTGAGTCTCTGTGTATCCGAGTGTCGATAGATTTGTGCCTTGGTTAACGGTTATTCATATTTCCTTCTTTATAGAGATTTTGTTTTGCTGACTTGGTTAGATTGGTTTATGATAGGCGTTGAGTTTTGCTGGTTCTTTTCTGAATTCTTATGGCCAACTCTTAAGCTTGTTAAATTAAACATTGTCGACTTTAATCATGGATACTATTAAGGGCAAAAGTAAATAGGAATGTATATCTTCTTAGCTTCACACCAAAAAATGAAAACAAGATAGGAGATTGTTTCGCCTCACTCTAATACGCCTTTTACTTTCAAAAGCTTGACTTGTAAAATCAGAGCTTTCTTTGTTGCTTCATCATAAAATCAGAGCTCTGCCTACCTCTGTTGTCATTCTTCTTTAACCCTAGGGACTGAGCCATAGGAGTCATAGCCACATAGATGGAGTTTGGGGATGACGACGCTGCAGCTGCTGCTGCCACTTTGGCTGCTGCTGCTGAAGCTGCTACCATTTTCTGTGCACCGTCTCTAACTTGAATGTAGTCATCCTCTATCGCAAATAACTGCAAGTGAAAACCAGTTTAGCATCTCAAAATTTTGAGATAAACACATCAAAAAGTTTGGAAATTGGGATGAGACAGACCTCAAGATGGCTAGCAACAAAATCGTCCAGCTTCCCGTACTTTTTCTTGTAATCATGCCAGTGCAGAGGGGCTAGCATTTTGCCCAAACGGTTTGGAAGCTGTATAGCACATATGAAACAGACATTATACAAAAGCGCATTTTCAAATTCAATTGATCCCTCATTGTGGTTATGATTAGTTTGCTCACCGTTGAACTGATTCTGATTCTTCCACCAGCTGGTATAGTACGGAGGATGCATGTCAAAAGCGACCTTTCATCCAGCAGAGCACTCTCTGAGTTCCTCTCAGGTTTCCCAGATGAGACTAGAGTTTCAGGGACAATGGATTTAGCACCATTGTGTTCATCAGGTGAAACCTGACCATTAGCTTCCTGGGGAGAGAGATTGAAAACACAAACATTCAGAACATTTTCCCTATATCCAACCTAACTAGGCTCTACAAGCCAAGAAAAATTGCTAGGTAATAAGTGCTTGCATACCTTAGGTTTCTGATTATGGGTATGGGAATCAAGCCTTAGCACATCACGGAATTGTGAAGAAATGTCTTGAAAGTTATTCTCTGACTGATTAGATCCATTATAATCTCCATTGCCAGATTCCACTGCCTGTTAAGGAGTACTTTCTAAGACGGTATCGTATCGAACATGTATATCCTCAATTATTAATAAGAACTTCCCCTACCTGTTCATTCACAGAGGACGATGGTGTCGTAGCTCCATATTGTGCTACTTGGCTAGTTTGAATATCTCCATACCCTTGACCAAAGGACTGTACCAAGCCATGAGCACCTTGAGATGGATGCACATGATTCTGCATAGGCATCTGTGAACCATCAGGTACAGCCTACAAAAAAAGAATGAAAGACCATGGTCATTAACTATAAAAATGAAACAAAAGATGCATTCTTAAGCTCACACCTTTTGCTGCAGCAACACTGATTGTGCAAAATGAGGTGAAGGGACTTGAGGCTGAACAAGCTGAGAAATATCTTGTTGATGCATGACAAACGAATGCAGAGGGGTCATCTGACCCGCTTGGAGGTACCCATGCGTCCCAAGATTAGAAGATGACATCCTATCAACACGGTTGTTCTACAAATAGTTACAAGAGAAAAGGCAGTTACGGTTAGGATATGATCCATTTCAAGTGTTTCAGCATGGATAATTTCATCTTCAAGAATACAAGCCATTGTACTGAATAGTGAATATGAAGTGGAGCATGACAAATCTAGAATTTTGAATAATCAACATTAGATTGAATACATAAGAGATGAAACAACTACTTACAGATACAAAATTACAGAACTTCTATACTGGCCATCTTAATTTCCAACACAGTACTTTTTGGTGTCCTGGGAATATCCAATTATTTCACTTTCGCTTAACAGTTTTAATATCTACTGTTTAACAATTTAATTGGCTGATATGCCCAACTGAATAAGCAAATGTACAGATTCATCTCAACACAAGCTAACATCGTATTGTGGATAAGCTATCCAACAGAAAGCGTCAAACAGAGGGAAATCATTTAAGAGAATCCACAGAAACAAACATGTACCTGGGTAGCCTTATCATCAGTTGAAGTAAAAGATGAGATGTTATCTGCACTAATGTTTGCACTTTCTGCGCTGTTTCCATGAGCATCAAATTGGTTCCCGCTGTTCTGAATAGTCTGGGAGGCACCGCTGGAATTTGTTTTGGAACCACCTGCTTCCCTTACATTGGCAAGCTCATGCTGAAGCTGTTGCACTGTATGCACATGCAATCTCTCCATCTCTGCAAACTAAACTCAATGACAAGGAACAACATAAGGTTAGAGTAGAATCGTTTCACGGAAAACCAATTAGGAATTGGAAAATATTCAGGGAACTGACCTGTCTCTGACAACCATGCCAGAGCTGGTTATACTGCTCAGTACGTTCTCGCAATTCAGCCTGCAACGAATGATTTGTAGATGATTGTAAAGCATCCATCTCTTGGGCACGGGCAATCCAACCTTGCGCTTCTCTTAGTTGCTCATCCTTGTACAAGATAGTTTCTTGAGCAATCCTATTCTACAAGCCATTAAGGATAAGGACTCTGGCTTTAGTGAATGAGAATTTCAAAAATGACAATGATATAAAACTGATAGATCCATAAGCATGATTGAATAGATTTGATCGTGTCACAAAAACAAGGGAAAACTAACTTGTTCCTGCAATTCACTGAGCTGGCTCTCTTTCTCTTGAATATGCTCCTGAAGTTCAGATATTTTCTGTATATTTTTGGACCTCTCAGCTTCAGAGTGATCACGCTCTCTTCTGCATATTAAGAAAGGGCAAATGTAGTCTGTTATATTTTCTAAAACCACATGCCTAAAACGTCTTATACAAGTAGAAATCAAAGGCCTGATATAATGTTTTTCAAAACTAAAGTACCAGAACCCAATATAAGATAGAAGAATAACAGATAAATGCAGTATAATAGGTAAACTCGGATAGACTAAACAAAGAGAAAAGAGATAAGGAATTAACAGCACCTGAATGAGGCAAGTTCTTTATTTTGTTCTCTTAGGATACCCTCTTTGGCCCAGGCCTAGTATCAGAACAAGAAAAACTTAGATACAAATCATGCAGATTTATATCAGAAAAGAATCTAGTAATAATGTATAAACCAACATACCGCTTCATTATCCAGTTTAATTGCATGTAGCTCTCTGTCTTTCTCTTCTAACTTCCTCTCTGCCTCCCGAATAGATCTCTCCTTCTCATGAAGTTGCTCCTAAAATTTCAACAACATTCCTTTAACTTCAATGGAACACAAAGCTCGATAAAACAAAAAACACGCTAATATATCACGGGAAAATGAAACCTAACCTGCATTCTAGCAGAAGCATTAGCATACTCTGTGAATTGAGATTCATAGTTGCTCTGGATCTCCATGATCTCATGTCTCGCAATCATCTGAGCTCGAAGCTCAATCTCCAACTGCTGAAGTTCTCCTTTCTTTCTAGAAACATTAAGAATCTGTTGCTGCAACATCTCACTACTTGAAAAACCATCCTGCTCTCTTCCATTCTGCGCTACAAGAAGCCCCATTAAAATGTCGTTCCCACTCTCCAATACGTAAAAAAACTAAGTGGCATTGCAAGAAAGAAGTAATTAACCTCATAAATCGTTCTCTCATCTGTCCGATTTAGCTTTAACTGTTCCAAATCCTGCAAAAAATTTGACAAAGACAATCGAAATATGAACTAGGAAGCAACCAAAAGCAAATCACTTTACTCTCTACATAAACATTGAAAATCTTAAAGCCACAAGACTCACAGTGAAATCAACAGATAAAACAGTATTTAAAAAAGAAAAATCAAAACTTTCAGATTCAGTCTACACATTCCTCTAAACATAAACATAACCCAGAAGCATAAACGTTACCCCATAATCTGTGGTGTCTTGTGAATCCGAAACGGCGCGCCATTCTTTTCTTGACGGAGCCGTCGGCGACGGATTCTGAAGGGAACCGCCACGAGTTGCAGCTACGCTTGAAGCGGTCTCCATTGGTAAAGAAACTCACCGAAGAGACTTCAATTCCACTATCGCACTGAAAAAAAAAAAAACTAGGGTTTATCAGAAATGTGACTCAAGAAAAAACCCTAGAGTAAGTAACCCAGAAAATTTACAGAGATGATGAAGAGAACCCACGATTGACGAAGAGAAGAGCTGAAGAAAGGTTTAAGAAACGAAAATGGTGGAAATGTTTGACGCAGAAGAGACGAACAAAAGTGAGAGCGACGAGAGAAACTTGTGCAATTGCAGAATCAATCATTTGGCAAATTTCTTTCTTACTCGTGAGAGTGAAGATGACGTTTCAGGTCCTTTTGGGCCTATTGGGCTGAGCTATCTTTGACCCATTTAATCCGGTTTGGGTTTAGTGTTCTTTGATTTCTGATTTTATCAGAAATTTCGGTTTACTTCATTGAGGATTTATTTGTTTGGTCTGGTGAGATATGTTAAATCAAATCAATTATTCTTTTCAAATACACTATTTATATCATCAATTTGAAAACGTTAGTTGCCAACTTGAACAATTTTGTGCAAGCATCCATCAAATTCGAATAGAATAGGTAAATTTGTGAGATTACATGAACACCAACCACCAAGAAACATAAGAAAGACTTTGACACTACAATTGTATTTTGCTTTCTGGCGCAAAGCCTAAGAAGACCCTCCTAAAAGCAACCAGCTTAACGACCAAAAATAAACTCAAAAAGCAATGTTTAGTTACTAATTAAACAACAAGTAGTTGACAAGAGCTAGAGCATCTTGGCATTGCAAGGAGTTCTTTGAGAATGACATCCGTGGCTTTTATCCTTTTCCTCCAACACAAACCAGAAAAATTTACACTCAGTTTCTCCAGGATTGTTGAATTCTTCAGGAAGTATCTTATTAGCTCCATTTCTCCTTCATACCCCAAGATTGGACTTTTTAATACCACAAACTTGAGCGATGATACCAAACATGGAATCATTATCGTTTGAAACGTCACCTTTGGTTCATTATTCTTTGTACCACGTATGAAAACTCGGTTCTGAGCCAATTGCTGCGAAAACAAAAACAATAACATAAGAAAACAAGTTAAGTAGAGAGACATAAAAGCTTTCACAAACTATATGCATAAAATTACAAGGTTAGAACTATTCATCACCAAGGTAAGAGATTCTAGTTTTGGGCAGCTCTTAAGAAGATTTGGCAAAAATCCCAGATCGGAGTTACAAATTACAGTGCTCAATCGGGACAAGTAACAAAACTGAAGCAATGGTCCAGATTCCGACTTTAGAAAGATGTCCTGGTAACAAAAACCAAAAAAAAAAAAAATGGTCGTTAGAAACCCTTTTGTGGAAAAATAATTTATATGTTTACATGTAGATAGATACCTTCCAAAAAAAAGCACTAATAAGTAGCTCCTTGACCCTTGAAATATCAGAGAGAATATCACGAATCACTACTCTTCTTTTGGCTAAATCATTTGGATCAAACACATTACCCGAACAACCAAAGTCAATATCTACTTTGGCAGGGAACCCCGAATTGATGATATTAACGTTCTTTGTTGAATAAAATTTTGTCTTTAGACATTGAAGAAGAGGAGCATCAATCACAACATGGACAAACTCATTTATGTGGATTCTCTTTAGCGTCTTAGAACGCACTTGTAAAACCTTTGCGTTTTCAGACGAACTTCTGATGATGGTTAAATCTTCAAGAACCGGGGAGCCTAAGATAAGTTTCTCCAAAATGGCCTCATTGGGATAGTGATTGTATTGTAAATCGATGGTCTTCACACAAGGTAAGGAAACAAACTCGGCGTAAATGATGGAGAGTTGAAAGAGTCGTAAGTGTACCAATGTCCCACATGTATACAAGCTCAGGGGTATGTCACCGAAGCCAGCAGAAACGTTAACAAGACTAATATCAAGATGCTGAATCCTACGCCGAGTCACAACATCTATCCATGAGGTGAGATTACCAGCCTGATTATGAATACGTAAACATAGTTTTTGTATCCATGAGTCTTTGTGGAAATCAAAAAACCTGCCAGTAAAACTCACAAACTCATCGAACAACCGGAACTCGCAGGTGTTTAAATCCAACATAGGAACCAATTGCCAAAGATTTCTCCATCTTGTGGATAAAACACTTGTTCTTACAGCATCCTTAGTAGAAAGAAGAGTAAGTATGTGACATATCAAATGTTCAGGTAAGTTGTTTATCCTATCTTCCTCTGATCGTGTCTTTTTCTTTCTACCAACCATTTTTGCTGCATCACCAAGTTTTAAGAAAAGTATTTCAAAAAAGAAAATTATAATCTGATTTCGAATGGAAAATTTAACACGGACAGACTAGCTCTTGTTTTTAACTAATCTGGATGCGTAGAAAGTTTGGACACAGATAAATTGGGACAAACTAACCCTAGAAGAAGAACACATGCGAAGGGTTGTTATAGGTTAGGGTTTTTAGGGATTATGAAGATGCCTAAAAATCAATCAATTCTCAAAGAAAGAAGAAGAACTCACCGGAATGGAGATTAAGTAGCGCGGCAGATCAAACCTCTTCGTCTTGTTCCACGGTCATGTAGCACATGATTTTTATGAATATCGATAACTGAGAGTTTAGGGTTTCGATGGAAATTGGAATTGACACGTTTTTCATTTTATATATCACGTTAAGTATAACTTATAAAGTGTATTTGGTTTTGACCCGGACCAATGGTTTAAATCAAAACATTTAGAATTGGCAATTTTGACAGCGCAAGAAAGGAACAATTAAGGCCATGGATGTTTTGCAAGTTTTAAATGGTTTTTGGATTATAAAGTTTTTGGTTTATGGTTTCTAGATTTTGTATTAGAAATTTTTTTAAAAAATTAAAAATGGAAAGAATCAAAATTTGAAATCACGACTTTTATTAAACAGGAAGAGAAGATTAAAGATTTTAAAATTTGAAAATATGTTAAAGTTCAATCGGTTTATTAACATAATGTCGCAAATTCCTATAAATATTGCTCAATTTAACCTTGCTTAAAACTCAGAGTTGAATAACATTTGAACTGATAGAAAATTGTGAGCCGCCATGGAAATTCAGAAACCAAAGAGTCAAAGAACATCATTACCAAAGAACCAAAGCCAAACCAACCAATAACCCTTTGTCATGAACTGCTAGGGATGTCAAATGGGCTTCGTAACCATGGGCAAGACCAGTCCAAATTATAATTGTCCGGATTTGGTCGCGCCCAAATTCGAAGCGGTCAGTATGGGCTAGAAGCCCATTTGGTCCACAAACAAATGGGCCAAACCCATCTGTACATGAGCCGTCCAATAAACCTCAAAAATTAGGGTTACTAATTTGGAGAAATTTTTTTCTTTATTTTTTAAAAAATTAGAATTTACACTGACATTTTTACTCCAAAAAATATTGTTACAGGTTTGGCGGAAAATATGATTTTACGATTTAGCAGAAAAATGCAATTCTTCGATTTTTAGAGAAAATGTGTTTTTGCGGTTTTGACGGGAAATAAAAAATCATATTATTTGGGCCACATAGGCTGTCCAGTTGGTCATGGTCTTATTTGGGTTTGGTGTTAATTGGACACGGTCCTATTTGGGCTTATACTATCATGGTCCTATTTGGTCTTGGTCCCATTTGGACAGACCCATTTGGACCTGGACAGCCCAATTAACATCCCTATGAACTGCTACGTATATTCACATTGTCTTTACACACACCACAAAAACTATTTTAGATGTTGTGTATGTATAAAGCTCCAAATAAATAACAAATATCAAATAAAAACATCACATGTCCCCTCTACACGTTACAAATCAGATTATGACAACTTCACACTTGGTAGAGCTTTTTGGGATTTCAAAGACTTCCTTAGAGATTTCATCTTTTGATGAACGATTATCCAAACGTAAAGTGAGTTTCTTGAGGATTGCCGAATTATCTAGGATGTACCTTACTAGCTTCATTTGTTCAGCTTGTCCTCGGCGCGCGTGAGAGTTGAAAATCAACAAACTCGAGAGACGATAGCAAACACTCAGGAACATATGGAAAACTACTATCTATCTCCTTGGAACGTAGCTCTAGGTAATAATAACAAACATCTACCTGAGGAAAAAAGTGAGGAGAAAACACAATGAAATGATATGACAAAAACTTCCTGGAGATGAGGAAAAAACACAATGAAATGGTATGACAAAAATTTCATAGAAATGAGAAAAATATCACTTGATTTATCAAATATACCAGCAAGATGAGGGATTTAAGATTTGGGCAGCTCTGAAGAAATCTTGCCAACCATTCCAAACTGGATTCATCGAGAGAAACACAAAGACGGGACATGTAACCAAATTGAGGCAGTGGTTCTAATTTAGAATATTGATGAATGAGCTGAAAGCAAACAAAAATATATATTATGGATTAGAAAATTTTCATTATAGAAAATGTGCCCATCCAATACATACATACCTTGAAAGTTTCTTTAGATATCGTCATATCCATGACCTTAGAGATCCGGGGCAGAAAACTAAGGATGCAACTTCTTTTCGACGAAACACTTTCTTCACAAAGTTCCTCCAAACCAAAGTTGAGATCAATATCTAACTTGGCATTGGACCCAAGATTGTTTACTATAAAGATTTTTGATACAATATCTTTGATTCTCAAAGACACTACAAGAAATATGTTCATCGTTAGCGCGAAAAATATGCTATCATACGTATAACATAGCGAATTCACAAATGCTATGACATCGGCAGCTATGGTAGGTGTCACCCATACGATAGCATTTTCTGAAATGCTATTATAGATCGTTCAATTATAGCGGTTATAGAATGCTCTAATATACTTGAATATAGCACACATTTAGTGTTATTTTATCTTTGTATTATAGCATTTTTATATTTGATATATAAATTTAATTTGATTTATATAATTATTATAATTGAATCCTGTTTTGCAAAATAAATTTAATTGGATTTATAATATAAATTTTATATTTCATAAATCATCAACATACATAATCGTATTATTACATTATCCTTTTTTACATAACATCATACCAAATTTTAAACAAAATAAAGCGAACATCATAACAAGACAAACTTCAATCTCGTCTCCTCTATGTGTTTCGCCTTCCGGTTAGCATTCCCGTGCATAATCCCAATAAGCATGTGTATGAAAAATTTCTAAGGCATTATAACAAGGACCAACATTCCATACACCATTCAGAAGATGTTTAAAAAACCATGTCAGTGATATGTATTTTTAAATTAAGAAATTTAATCAGTGTTAGAAGTACCTCGTGGACAAATTTTTAATCTGATCATTTGCCTCATATTCGTCCTGTCAAACAAACAAACAAACACATGAACATTAATTAATGCTTAAGCAACAAATCTGTTTTATCAACATTCTAAACATTGGTTTCTACGAAGAATTTATTTGGACTAGAGCAATGAAACAAAATCTGGACTTACTTGACAGATGATGCACTTTCTATGTTCAAGTGGTGTATCTAAACGGAATGATTTGACTTTCCAGAGACAGCTTTTGATCTGTTTTTAACCCACAAAACAAACACAACACTCAAGAATTAACATAGAGACATCATCATCATCATGTTATCGAAACTGAGCCTCAAATCTGAATGTTGAGACAACTAGAAGTCCACTACTCATAAGAAATACATTTATCAAAGGATACATTTCTCATGAATCATTGCTTTATTATAGGTAGCTTAAATATTTATAATAGATCCTAATCATTAAGAGTAACATATGCTTTAAGCTTCAAAAAACTACGATGCTTAACAAAAATAAACTATGACGCTTTGTAATTTACATGGTTTACCAATTTGGCCATATCTACAAGACAAGCTCTCCAATTAAACAAGATATAGCTTTAACATTGTAAAAATATCTTAAGCATTAAAACTAAATATAAGATCTATGCTTCAAATATAATAACTTCATTTCGAAAGACTAATACTTTTAGTTTTTTTTATAAAAGTAGACAAAAGCTTTTGGAAGTAAATGTCTTACCGATTTTGCCATATTCATAAGACAATAACAAGTTGTATCCACCACCATACCCTGTCACGTCCAAAAACAATCATCAATCCTCCGAGAAGGCGAGAACAATATATATAAGTTCTGTCTTTGTCATTCCAAAAACAGTATTACTGCATATATAGACGCATCAAACCTCTTTAAGTAAACAATTTTTATTCAATTGTCAATACTCCAGTAACAAATAAAAATGAGAAGTCACTCATACATTATGGTGATGCTGCCGTAAACAGGATCAAGCTTAATCCTAATCTCAAGCTCTCCACCATCTTCAATCAAAAAACGTTCCATCACACTCAAGAGCCTCTATATCACAAAATCAATATTAACAACAATCCATCTCTATATCACAAAATTTTGACTTACTTTATAAGTTCCCTGAGAAATACCTCATTGTGATTGTATAAGCTATGAACAATCAAATCCAACAATCGCCTAAACTTCAAATGAGATTTAAAACAATAAAATCCTAAAATTGTGTATCCACTTCACCAATAAAAGCTGAATCAAGAGCAACCCAGAAACAAAGATAAGAAAAATTCAATTTGTAGAAATAAAAAACAGAGATGCACACAAAATAAAGTTTGAAATTTAGAGAAATGATAGAAAAACCCAACCTTCATTGTCGGCAGAGCACCAAAACGGGGCTGTAAAAGACGGCAAGGAGAGAGAAAGAAAAGGTCTGAGCTTTGAGAAGAGATTGTGTATCTGAGGTAGTTGACCGCACGATGTCGCCAAAGAGTAGCCACTGATCTTGAATTCGTTGGAGCCATTGATGGTTTCGGTGCAAAAGGTGACTCTGTGAACGACGGGGCAGTTGATTTCAAAGATTTTGGAACCTCCGTGCAAACCCTAATTGTGTCCATAAAAAAAGACGAGATCCAAGAATCACTACTTTGTAAAGAAATTGATTTTTTCTTCAATCTTCTTACTTTACACGGCTCAAGTCTTCGAATTTCAGAAAAAGTTGGTATTTTTTGAGATTGAGAGGCAAAATTAGGGTTTCGAATTACAGGGAAAGCTTGGGGATTTGAGAGAAGAGAGGAGAAAAGAAATGAGGTGAGTAAACAACAATCGTCGACAGAGATTCAATTTGTGGGTCTGAAAACAGGTCTGAAATTTTTAGGTTTGAGAGGTTTTTCTCATAGTGAAAAGGGGGAAATGAGTAGGGAGATGGGCGCTAAGTGAATTATTTTGACAAAGCGTTAGCGAAATAAATCATTTTAGATTTTTTTAAAGAATTTTTTTATTTTAGCATTTATTAAACGCTATTATATAGTTACCAAAATAACAACTCATCTTTAATAGCAATCGGAGAAAACGAGCTATCCTCATATGCTATTAATGTGGACTTTTTTTGTAGTGAGAGCACAATACAGGAGCATCAATCACAACTTTCACAACAGAATCAAACCGGAAGGAAGATCGTAGTAAACAGAGCCTCCTAAGTGACAGAGAGTGCACCCGATACATTTTTGCATCGTTATATAATATGGAAATCTCTAACTCTTCCAAGGCAGGGCAGGATGAAACAAGTCTCTCAAAACTGGCCTCATTGGGATATATATTGTAATGTAAATGCATAGTCTTCAGACAAGGTAAGGAAACAAATTCAGCACTAGCCAACTTCAGCCGATGAAGTTTTAAGGATACGAGTGTTTCACAGACATAAAAGCTTGGGGGCATCTTAAGAAAATAAGTCGTTAGATTACTTCTAACATGTAGATGTTGGATCTTATGCTTAATTGATGCATCGATCCATGATGTGAGAGTGAGAGAATATGCATCATATTCATCAATAATCAACGTAAGCTTATCTATGCGTGATACTCTATTGGAATATAAAAACCTGTCACCAAAACTCGCAAAGGCATTGAGATTTGAGAATTTTCGGGTTTCCAACTCCAAACAAGGAACCGAAAGCCAGAGACTCCTCCATCTGGTGGATAAAATGCTTGTCGTGACAACTTCTTGTGTCGGAAGATCAGGCCCGGTCCTAGGATTTGTGTGGCCTAAAGCATAGTATAATTTTTTTTTTTTTAAATTGTTAATTTTGTCTAATCTTTTTCCAGTTTCCTGGATCATGAATATCCACATACTTGTGTTGATTTTGGGTGTCTCTCGAATCTTTATTCTCATGTTGTTCCATTTCCTCATCCATACAAACGTTTCCATGTCGGCCGTCAGTGTGAAACTCTTTCTCAACATCCTCAACATCTTCAAAAGCATGATTTTCATCGCCAACCTCGTTTATCTCATCTTCAACAACAACATCATCAGTTCTGGAATTTTTCGTTACCGTAACATACTTGAGCATGTCATTAGTTTGAGATTTAGTTGATTTTTCTTCCCTTTTTTTTTTTTTGTTTTTTTTCATAACCATGACATGAGCCTGTTTTCTGGTGCAAATTGGAGGCATCGTCTCCAAAAATAACAAAACATATAATTATAGTCACAACAAAGTTTTCAAATTCAATCCAAACACTTAAGTACAAAACTAAAATATAAAATTAAGTGACAAAGTCACCGTCACCATCACGACATGATTTTGACTTTTGCAAATTGCAATCCCTAATCTCCAATTGCATTCGTTATTTTCAAAAGTCAAAACATAACCTTTGATTTGATAATAATTCAAAACAATTGATGACAATATTAGAAGGATTAAGGACAAGAATTACCCAACAGCAGCAACAGTTTCTTACCTAACAGCGGCAATGATCGGAGACGGTGTTCTTCGTGAAAGATTTCTAAAAAAAATATTATACTAATACTTTTAACTTAGTTATAAAACAAAACAAAAACTGTAAGTCTGTAAAAAAAAAAAAAAAAAAAAAAACCTGTAGCAGATGGGATTCGAACTTGAGAAGCGACCCTAATATACTAAATACATAACCACCAGCCTAAGGAAATATTTTACAAATGTGGCCCTAAAACTTTTCTTTTATTGTGTGGCCTAAAGCAGAGGCTTTGCCTGCTTTATGGGTAGACCGGGCCTGCGGAAGATTATTAAGTATCTCACATAACAAAGATTCAGGTAATTGGCTTATCCTATCTTTCTTCAATCTCTGATTCGACCCGTTGACACGAGCCTGGTTCTCTTCCCCTCTATCAACCATGTGTTAATTCTTCTGCACAACAAAATTGAAAACGAAAAGTTTGAGATACGAAGGTAATATGGACACATAGCTTGCAACCAAACCAACAGTTTCGGTTCAAGAGAAAATAATTTTATTTGGCCAGATGAAACTCATAAAGTAGCATCAAAATGTTCCCCGGAAGAAGAAGAAGCTCATCGTGACACATACCGATCGAAGAAATAACAGTGAGAGAGAGAGAGAGAGACGACAAACCACATTGAGACAAGTTAGGGTTAGGGTTTTCAACGTCTTAATGAGGATGATATTACAAAACAAAAGGGGTGAGTAAAAAGAAGAAGAACCTACAATGTTGTGGTAGAACGGAATGCAATCACCTTGCCGTAATTGCAGATCGAAATTTCGCCAATCGACGACGAAAATTGGGAATCACCGACGTAACTCTACGAATTTGTCCAAATACTAGTTAGGTCGTGCAAATATAATTGACATAATCTTTCCATGGTTTATTAATTTTCTAAAGAGTGTTTTCTTTTGTTAATTTTACACATATAACAAAATAAAGGACGTTATTTATGAGTTATTTGATTTTCATTATAATGTATGTTATTTTTATGTTATAATATGAGTTAAGCTTAACTTTTGTTCTTCTTAATTCGGAGATTCACTTTTTAAAAAAATTGGTTTGACAACCTGATGATGAATGCTCCCTCCGTGCTTTTGTCATACACTTCTTCTGTTCATCTCTGATGATTTTGTCTTCAACTGAAGAAGAAGCCGTATGCGGTGGAGACTTTGAGTTGTATATATGTGTAATGTGTTAACATGAACAATTTGTGCAAGTATCCATCAAATTCAGAGTAAAATTGGTAATTTGTGAGATTAAATGAATATTAACCACCAAGAAACATAAGAAAGACTTTGACACTGCAATATTTTGCTTTGTTTAGTTACTAGACAGCAATGTTTAGTTAACCTAGAAAGGAACCAAAATTTAACGACCAAAAATAACCTCAAAAAGCAATGTTTAGTTACTAGTTAAACAACAAGTGGTTCTTAAGCGCTAGAGCATCTTGGCATTGCAAGGAGTTCTTTGAGGATGGCATTCGTGGCTTTTATCCTTTACCTCCTATGATAACCAGAAAATCTTACACTCAGTTTCTCCAGGATTGTTGAATTCTTCAGGAAGTATTTTACTAGCTCCATTTCTCCTTCATAGCCCAAGATCAGACTTTTTAATTCCACAAACTTGAGCGATGATATCAAACACGGAATCACTATTTTCTGAAACGTCACCTTTGGTTCAGTATTCTTCTTACCACTTATAGAAAGGCTGTTCTTAACCAATTCTTATGAAAACAACTAGATGTTAACCCACGGTACACCGCAGGCCTAAATATTATTTGATTTTTTTAAAATTATTAATTTAAATATATTATGTGATATATATATATGAAATTTTAATTAATTTAAATGTATGTATTGAAAGTTAGAGATGTATATATATCTATAAATGGTAGAATTAGTCAATTTCAATTTCATTTTAGTAAATATAGATTTATAAAAATTTCCAATACATCACTAACTTGTACTCAAATTATGCCATTTCCAATTTTATAAAATTACACACATAAGATATTGTATTTGATTTCATTTGAATATATTGAGTTTTGTAAAAATAAAATTTATAGTATTTATGAACATATATTTAGTGAAAAGAAATATAAGTTTTAAATGTGTGTATATGATCGAAAAAAAAAACGGGAAGAAATGGGTACCGTTAACGGATTAAAGTGTGTCGGTGTCATAACGGAAAAAACAATTCCGACTATCAAAGAACTTCAATTCACCATCCTCTGCCATCTTGAAACTTTGAATAAATCTTGGCAGTATGGAAAGATGTCGATTAATGTTTTGACCCGCGGTAATATTACCTAGATTTTGACTCGCGGTACACCGCGGGTCGATTAATTTTATAAAAACCATAATTTTAAAATATTAGTTGAGTATATCAATTTAACCTGAGAAAACAATTAACCCATTTGAGAGAAAAAAAAATCTGTCAAAACCCCTTTCATCTTCTTTCCTCTTCTTCGATTTCTGACGATTCTCTTGCTCATTCTTCACATTTCTTTTCGATTAGAGCCCCGATTTTCCTTATTCAAGATAAACTATCCAAAACCGAAGATCCATTAAGTCCATAGGAGCCGACACCAACAAATTAGATCTGCTTGAAATTTTTTGTCTAAATTGAAAGGTAAAAATATATATTTGCTGTTACTGTAATAATCGATTTGATGCTTGATAACAAAATCTTAGCATTAAAAGTAATTAAAATTAATGAAAACAACAAACAATTGCTAAGATGCAGATCTTAATTAAGATGTTTTAGAGAAGCTAAGATGCGCTACGTGTCAATAGCTGAGTGGTTAAAAAAATGAGCAAAAGGAAAACAAAAAATGTCCCGTGTTTTTTTTTCCTTCTCTTGTTGTCGTCTCTCTCTTTCTCGAGCTTTTCCCGACAAAAACCGAGTCATGCGAGATCACCATGATTCGAGTCGATCTGAACCATGCTCACTTCTCCAGGTTTTTCTTCTCCTCTTTGGTTGTAGAGTTGGTGATCGTAATCCCGATTCTAATCTTGTGATCTTACTTGAATTTGATGGATTCTGTGAAATTAATCTGATTTAGTCGTGAATTGACTTCAATTTTTAAAGAAATCTAGCGAGAGGTTATCCTCAATCGAAAATTCAGTTACTTAAGTTGAATCTCCCAATTTTAATGAGAAAGCTAGTCCAAAGTCATTAGATCATTCTCAATTTCACTTTGGTAATGGCAATTAGGGTTCATAGTTGTAGATGCTTAATTTATTGAGATTTGAGTTAGAAGTTCTGTTGTTTTTTTTTGTATATGGTAGGTGGTTTCTCGGAATCGAAAGATGGCAAAGATCTGCCAGTACTTCTAATGGTCTCTTCAATACTTCACTATTGGTCTCTTCAATACTCCATGTTCCGTTATCTAACACGCTTTCACCTCTTGCTACAACAATTATTTTCATTGCATTATCTTCATCGAATTTTTCATCCTGAAGAAGATGATTATTGTAACTTGTTCGGTGGAGCATCTGATACTCTTGAGTAAGAACCCGATTGTAACATGGTGATGGTACTAATCCACTCTTTCTGATAAATTATTTATGAGAAATTTCTATAGATTATGCATCATCTCGTTATGATAAATACTTAGGTTTTGTGTATCTTTTGTTAGGTGTTTGTGAAGTCCTCCAAGTCCAAATACCAATCATGATTGTGAGAAGAGCTGTGAAGAACTCAACTGTTGTTCCTAGAGGTGGAGCTATAGATGTAAGTATCCTCCATTCATCGTGGTTCAGTATTTAAGTTTTGCACGTAGGGTTGAGCCATTCCTCCTGGTTGTAGATGGAGATAAGCAAGTACCTGAGGCAGCATTCAAGAACTATTGCTTGGAAGTCACAGCTTTTCATCAACTCTTATGCGAAGGCTCTGGAGGTACACTTCATGGTTGACTTGGATGTTTTAACTTTTGTGCCTCTTGATTTCACATATAAAAAAGAGAATATTACTTATTTCCATGTGGCCTGTTAGATCTAGGTCCTTTAACAATTTCTTTCACATCTTTCATGGTTGACTTAGATGACTTGGGATGGGCAAACAGGTCCATGGCTAATATCAATATCAAAACAAATGGTTGTTTGTCTGATACACATGGTTTAGCAAACAGGTCCATGACTAATATCAAAAGGCAAGAGTCATATATATACTCATACGTTGCCACTTCTCCTTGAAACAGGTCAGTATTACTTATTTCTTTAATAATCATATACTCATGAATATAGCTAATATATAGAGTTGGTTGATTCATTGAGTAGAAGTAAGAAATTACTTGAACCCTTTTAGTAAGTGATATGATTAGTAAAACATTATACTGCATATCCTGGCATTCAAATTAAAAATTTATCAGATGAATAGTCATTAATACTATACCAAATCTGAGTACACATATGAAGAAATATATCGTCTCTCTTTCCGCCTAAAAATGGTCCTTCTAATCGGCTCTAATTTCTTCATCTTTCTATTGGGTTAGTGTATACTTGTAGGCTAGGGGAGGATACTTTCTTATCATCTTAATTCTTCATTGCCTACACACAATAAACATCTTGCTCAAAACAATTTATAAACATATATTAGATCAATTCCAAATCCAACTAACACTGAAACAAAGCTTTCTTGAATGTATACAATAAGTCAATAATGTAATGCGAAGCACAAACCCTTTCTTGTCATCCACAAATCTGCAAAAAAAAAAAAATGAATTTAGAAACTGATTGGGATGTTTAAATTTTGAGATTCTCACCAGTTTTGGCTGTGTATTGCCATCATGATGCAGATCTTAACTTGGATTCGTCAAGCGAGTTTGTTAAGCCGCAGGTCTCTGAAAAACTTTCTTTTTGGATGTAAAAGGTAAAATGATTCTTAATGAGCTGATATTTTTTATTTTTGCATATGTTGACTGGTTATATATAGAGGTTGTAGATGTTTAGGGTTAGCTTTGATTGTAAAGCGAGAAAATCTTGGTGATTAAGTTCAAAATCTTGAAAATCTCGCTATTTAAAATGTATGGTAACTATATAAAGCATATTCTTTAAATCCGATTGTTAAGGTAAATACTCTTTAAAAAATCGTTGATATGCATATTTTGGTAGAGAAGAAATAAGTATTATGTAGATTATTAGAAAGATTGTGTCGAGATTTTTGGAGAAAACTATTTAAATTGATGCTTATAATCGAGTTGTTAGAGATATGTAGAATAGGAAAATCGAAAATGATAATTTGGTAGTAATTAAATGCTATCAAATATCTCGGAGATTTTATTTTGGAAACTAATCGTGGACTAAGCAGAGATTTTTGCATGATTCGTAACGGAAAATCTTTAATGCTACTATTGATAAAAAGGAATAGAGCCGATTAATGTGGAAAGTAGTTAAGGAAATAAGATTAAAACGAATTGTATGTTTAATTTAGTCTTAAATGTCAGTTTTTATTACAACATCCCTAAAATTTCTTATCCAAGATCCGGATAAAGTTAAATCCGGATAAAACCCAGATCCAAATGAATTAATGCAAAAAACCCCTATAAAAATGTATATGTAGATAACATAAGTAAACAAATTGAGTATATAGAATCATAAATGCGTAAATATTTTCACAAATGATATGCGTTTTAAACCAAAAAAAAAAAGATATGCGTTAACTCAGAGGGTTAAAGCTATTCATCACCAAGATGAGAAAACCTAGTTTTGGGCAGCTTTTAAGGAGACTAGGTGAGTACCCGCGCTACGCGCGGGATTTTGTTATAAATTTTGTTTTAATATTTTTTTAAATTTTTAAAAATTTATATGTAGATATTATTAGATTCCTGTATTTTTATTAAAATTATATATTTGTTTTCAAATTTATTTTTGTATATCGTTGCATGTTTGAGACTAATATATACATTTTTTTAGAAAATTTTTCATTTAGCTTTTAAGATATATTTTATTATTTGTTTAATTATTAGTTTAGTGTAATATCTATACAATTTGTAATTTTATATGGAGTTTATCAACTCTAATTGTAATGTTTTGTTTTTTTTAGTTAGAACAATTTTTTTAATGTAAAAAGAAAAGCAAATATCCTCATAACTTTAAACTTGAATGTAAAACAAAATGATGGGCTCGAAAAGACCATGTCCACAGTTGTATTGAAGTATTTTATAAGAGAATTGCTTTCTAAACTCCACTTTCTCTTGGTCTCCATTTTTTGTCCCCCCACTTTAACTAATTGTAGAAGTTGTTGTCGGATTCTTGTTGGGATTTGGTTCCTCAAATGTGCTCCAGCCCTATAATGAATATTTTGTATTATATATGTTTATGTTAAATTTTTTTTTTTATAATTATATTTACCTCGTCAAGGTCTTTATAACTTATGTTTGACACCATGAAATTCTGATTCTTGGGAGTATAGTTGAGAGGGGATACTCTTATTTGGAAACGAAAATGTTTGCCAGCAAGATCACTTAAACATGTTGGTAAGATATTGTTGTTACATTTGTTGACCTACAAAAAATATTTATTTTTGGTTTAATTGTTATTAAAAATGAGTAAAATTTCCAATATTATATGATAATTACTTTCCTAAGATTTTATTTACCTTCTCTTCCGTAATTGTGGTTGCCGTTTTGTTTGTAAGTTTTCTCATATTTTTGTCTAAAATCACAAATGTCGCACCATGTTCTCCATCATGTACATCAAGCTCCACTCGATACCTATGAAATAGTTGTATATAATAGTATTTAAATATAAAAAATTCCAAATTGTTATATCTTTATTTCGTTGTGTTTGCAATTTATTAAAAATAGCTATAAGAAAATAATAGTGTACCTAAGAATTCCTTCCTCATTAGGCGTTACACAACTTTTGCATCTTTGTAGTGTTGTCCTTTTCTCTAAATTCCGTCCACAATCTTTGCAAGATCTGTATGTCCATCCGTTTCTTTGTACCACCCCAACAACATAAGCGTTGCAAAAAAATTCAGCATCCTGAGTCTTTTAAAAGTGTTGTAGATTTATCAAGTTTAGTTAGTTGTACTTCTATTTATATGTGATGATGAATTAAAATACTCTATTGTATTAAATACCTGTTCGTTAGCTTTGGATATATAGTCGTAAAGTTCAGCAATGGATACTTCTTCTTTTTTCATTTCTCCCACCATGGTTTCTGCATATCCATATGTTTCTCCTTCTTCTATTCCCATCCTATATGGATAATTAAACAATTGTTTAAATTTGTGTTGATAAGTAAATGTATTACTTTTTAGCTAATTTATTTAAACCTTACTCTTTTGTAAATTTTTGGATGACATCAAATGTTGAGTCCAAATATATCCTTGTTGCTTCCGTAGAATTCAAGTATAGGTTACCTTGTTCATGTTAAATGTATTTTTATTAATATAAAAGTTAGTATGATGTAAAATATTTGATTAAGTATATAATTAATTTATTATAAAAGGATTTACCTCCAAAGAGTTTTGGATTAATCGTTGTTACGACCATGACATTTTTGTTGGTTTTTTTTTTGGAAATTTGTGAGCGGAAAGTTGATGCAGCCTCACCCCAAAGTTGTAAGTAGACAATAACAGACCTAATTATCAAGATTTAATCATATAATATGATATATTTTTAAATTAATATGTTTTAGAAGTGTTTATAATTTAGTATCACTTACGTATCCATCTTAAATCGCATGACCAAACGTTCTTTTGAAGTTCCATCATGAAGGTTTGATCCTTGCACAAACATTACTTGTCCAACAACATCTGTAAATTGAATGTCATTGTTATTTTCTTTAACAATAAAATATATATATATATATATATATATTATTTAGGTATTGAATATTTATAATGTGAATGTTTACCAGGTAGTGCAAGGTTTGTGTTTGCTAGAGCTTGGAGGAGGTTGCTATTCTGGAGCATGAACTTTTCTTGATTTATTGTAACGCCGATATTTCCTATTTTAGTCATGTTTGTTGATGGAAGAAAACGGATGGCTAATGGATTGTCTGTAATCTTGTATAGATTTGTACTTCTTCCCACTTCAAACCCACTAAGATTGAAGATTTCACTTTCTTGTAAAACATAACGGTTATGGTCGACAAGTGAAGCAGGTATGAAACCATGTATAACTGTGTTCTGCAAATAAAATGAGATTATGGTTTAGTTGTTGGTCGCTACGTTGAAGGCCAAAATGTATTAAAAATATTTAAAAATTGGTAATACCTTTTCATCAAGGAAAAGAAGGACAATCCCCATTAATTCGCCATCCTCTTTATTATTGGTAGCTTCCCAAAACCGAAGGAGCCTTCCAACAATTTGTTGATTAGATCGTCCTAGTTGTAAAGCATCAAACGTGACATAAGAAGCATCTTGTGGGATAGCAACAATGTCAAATGTAGCCATGTTGTAATGATTATAAAATTAAGTTAGAGGTGGTTTTTTTTTTTTCCTAAAATGGTTTGTCTTTAGTTGTTTGGTATTTATAGCTGTTAAAGGAGTAATTGCATATATGTAGTGGGTGAGTGCTAGATTATTTGTAATTTATGATGTTAATTATTCTGTCCGTTGTAACGTTTTTGATTTTTAATGTAATTGAATTCTCTATATTATTTAAATAATTGAATGCTGTGTGTTTTAATGTTTTTCATCATTGTTTTATTTGGGTTGAATATGATGCGTTTTGTTTTCCTATTACTATTTGTATTTTATTTAAAATTAATGCAACTTTTAGTGGAAGAAGCTAATTAATTTGTTGACTTGTAATTTATATGTAACCGTCGCTTGTTATTGTTTCGATTGGATCAATAGTAGAAGCTGCTCCGCGGGATATCTATGACGAATCAGATTATATTGGTGTTGTTAATAACAGCCCCAATTAATGTTTTATTTTCTGTAGTTATTTGAAGTAGTTATTTCAAGTTGGGACTTGTCGAATCGAGCCCATTATATCATGGTCGTACGGTTTTTAGGTTCCATTTGGTTGTGGCTTTTTTATTATATTTTTTTGTAGTTATTTAAGATCCATAAGGGAATTTTATAAGTTTTTGTTTGTTTTTCATACCAATAGAAAAAAAGAAGTTTTTGTTTAGTTTGGTTCTGATATTTGTTGGTTGGGATTCTTAAAAAGAGTGCTGATTAATATATATGATCCTAATCCCTTTGTAATGACCATAATCCCGTTTAAATATAATTTTAAAATTTCTATTTTATTTATATGTGTGTATTTATATTTATTTTAATATATATATATATATATATATATATATATTTTTTTAATAATTTTAATTATTTAAAGGGTGTAAGTTAAAGCTTTTTTGGTTGAATTTGGAGATTAGTTTGCGGTGGTACATATAAACTGCCGTGTGTTTTTTTTTAAAAATTTATACATTTTTTCTTTTTTTAAAAAATTTTTTCATGTATTCAGAAACTTTGCTTTGGGCGCATTGTTTTTAGTCGTTGTAAAATAACTTATCCTTTATAACATTATTCCTTTCCAGTCCATATTAGGCTATATGTTATTTTAATTTTTCCATGGTTTTAATCCTGTTGCGTAATATGGTTTTATTTTCCAGATAATTAATGGTGGTAATCTTTTAGCAGTTGTTCTAATTTATGTATAGATATATGTATCCGCAAAACACTGTACGAATGTCCTTATTTGAAATATAAAATGGTGCTGGAGAAGGAGTTGTTTAATGCGTTAATGTTTCCGTATTGTAGTATTGTTCCTTTTTAGCTACTTACCATGTTGATTTTTGTTAAAGGAATCCTGTGTCTGTCTTTGTGTTGTAATATAATATTTTCCTGATTGTGTCCAATTATAATTTTGGGTTTAGGTTAGAGACATGTGAATATATATATTTCATCCCTGTTAATTAAGTATTTTTTTTTTATATAAATCTGTTCTCTCAGTTTCAGTTTTTATTTTTTTATTTTTTTTTTTTGGTTCTAATTAAAAAAAACCATTGAGGTGATATAGTTATTGGTGACGGTGTTAAAAAACAATTGCGTATCCGTGGGATATAGTTCTCTTCCATTATTCATATTCGTTGTTTGTTATTATGTTCCAATTACCTTTAGAAATCGGTATCTGTTATCTG